GTCAAACAACCATAATGCACAATACCACCAAGTGTGCAATTACACCCGCACTGATCAGTCGTTTCACAGTATGCATCGGTCAATGTCAAACATATGTGTGTCTGCAACTAAATTGCAGTCCATGACACATCCACACGATCCAACATGTCAAATCATGTATCATGAGTCCAAGATTGATCAAAAACCTGATCATGGTAAACACAGCATGTTGTTGCATATCAGACTCGATATATCAAGTGACAGTTGTACACTTGCTGATGGTGCACAGCGTATCAGTCACAATACATGCACGGTATTGCATTGCAGTCATTGGATGATAACTGGTTGCAATGTGATACCGATCGACATACATCAGCATGGTGTGATGTGACCATGATCATGGTGGAATGTGTTGGAGTTGACATTGTGAGTTGACAATCGATACACCATGCACATGACTGGAACATATGCATTCGAGTGTGATTTGGTTGGTGTCAGGTTGATCATGCAATCACATCGGTGCAACGAGTGAGCGAGCTAATGGTGATCTGAACCCATTTCAACAACAAGGAGTTGACAGTCATGGATTTGCATGCATTCAATATGTGTAGCACACCGTTGTTGGCTGTTGACTGTGTAGGCAAGTCAAGTTACCACCAACCAACAACCAGATCCAGTGCGTACATGACCATTACTAGAATGACTGCCAAGAATATTCGTGTCTGAAAGTTGATTGTGAGTTGGTGGTTTGCAAGAACCGGACACAACCAACATGCTATTGGATACAGCAACCTGATTATAGTCCAGTCACATGGTGTGATACAGTGGTTCATGCAATACAACATCCAGATATTTGTAGTGTTGAACACGACGAATCTGTTGTTCGTGTAGCATCATATCAATTGGTAATTCAGAGTCAAAGTGTTGTAACCACGGAAACTGAGTATGTTGCATTTGACTACACCAAAACTTGTTTGACATTGTTCCATTCATTGTGCAAGTACACCAGATGCCAATTGGAGTGACTGATCAGAGTCAACAAATATCACGATATTGTCGGCATACATGAACCCTCACATTGATGGTGATTTACACAATACTCATGCAATGACAATCGGTTGATATCATCGTGTATGTTGTTGATGAACATGTTGAACAACAATCCGACAGTGGACATTACAGCCGGACTCCATGTCCAATTGGAAATGGGTTAGAAACCAATGATCCAGTTTGAGCATGAGCTGATGAGCATGTGTGCAGCGCTGTTAACAAGACCAGTGTGCGTAGTATCAATCACATGTGCTGCAGTTATCATATCAAGGCACCAACCGTGACAGTGTCGAATGCATTTTGAATGTCAATCAACACAACAATAATATTGAACTGCACGCACTGCCGTTGTTGAACAATATCAACTAGTGAACCAACCTGCACAACACACTTGTTTGGTTTGAAATCGACCATGCTCAGTGGTGACGAGTTTGTTGAACACCACGATCCATCAATGTGTGTTTACAAGACCTTGCATACCAGTTTATGACACACATCAATCAGTGTAATACCGCGTTTGTCATTTGTATCAATGTGATCGCCGTTATTATTGTCGATATATGCAATCAGCACAATCGGTACAGTGTATGCAGACTGCCATCAGGTTGCATAGTGGCCGTCAACATATTGACTGAACTGTGTGTAGCAGGACACGAGCAAATAAATTGGGTGGTTCATCAGGTGTAGCATCAGGTGTATATAATGCGACTCGGTAGAATGTGACCAATATCCTGTTGTTTTTCAGGTGTCTGGTGTGGACCAGCTGCTGTATTGCATCAGCTAGTCGATTTCAAGATATATCCGAGTCGAGATCAGTGGCATCGTCACGAATTGGAAACAGTTTGTATGGTGGAAGTGAATCACGTATATGCAAGTACTGACATTACTGCAAGTCAAGTAAATGTCCACTATCGTCCATAGCAAGACACAAGTAGTGATTACTCGGTATGCCAAAAATATTATCACTGCTATACTGAATGATACGATTGGCATCACATCACATCGTATAGTGGAATGGAATGAAATGAAATGGAGTGATGGCTGTTGTGTGTGTTGCACCACCAGGCATGACTCGAGCTGCTGCAAATGTCATATCAAAACGATCATCAATACTGCCTGGTCAAATGTGTCAGCAAACTTGATCCAGATCATATGTTCATTGGCGCATTCAAGTCGCTGGATTGTTGCATTGTGTTTGTCCCAAAATGCACCTAGTTGGCTGCGACAGAGTTCATTGTGATTGTCACGGATACTTGCTGTAATGTACATCGATATTCCAGTGTTACCATGTCAAGTTGTCCGTTTGATTGAGCGATACAGTCGACGTTTATGTTCCCGAGCAGTATGTGCATGTGCGTGCAGTTGACAGTCATTCACTGTTGCATTGGCAGCATCCAATAACTGAATGCATAGCTCGTGTGTGTCCGTGTATGATCCATCAAACGCTGCATATATTCCACCAATCGTGAACATTGCAATCCGATCATAGGCATATATGCAGAGTTGTGATATGTCAGTTGGATGAGTGGAATGGACTGAATGAGTTGGTGCATGTGTATTAGTGCGGATGCAAGTGTAAATGACACATCGTCAACAACCGCAATGTTCATGTCTACACAAGCAGATTCTACAAGTGTTTGTTCAGTCTCGTCACACACAAAGTGATTGATAGAGTGTCAATGACATGCAGTCCTGCTCACTCGAGTGATGTTACTGTCGGAGTATTGCCAGCATACTGCATGACAGTCAAACGCAGTATTCATGCGTGTATGATGCGTTGTAATGACACATATTCAGTGTTCCAATCTGCAAACAGTAGCACTGATGAGTGATCGTCAAACGGAATAACTGCTGACAGGACATGTTGAATGGCAGACAAGACATTTCGCGTTTGATAGTCGCATGCAGCCGAGTGTCCAATGTACACAGCCAACAGTCCAAACACAGTCAGGTGTAAAGTTTGGAATGTTTGCGACAATTATGGTGCCATAAACAGTCATTTTGTAAATCCAAACCATTTGTCAATACCGAATGGTGTCTCGATGTTCGGGAACAGTTGCCGAGTGTTGCAATACATTGAAACCACACACTGTGTGCTTGAAACTGTCCGTTGCAATGCAAGTCTCGGATAATCCACATAGTCGGTTTGGCTGAATATATGTCAAAGTAGTGAGTGTTTGCTGGCAATGTTTGACACATTGACTGACAATATTTGACAACAATTAGGAAGTGGTGGAACACACAGTGAGGATGTCGTTGGATGCCTGCGTTGACAGTTTTTGTGTATGTCAGTTGTTGTATGGATGATTGGTGACAGAGTTGATGGATAGTGTGTGCGGAACATGACTCTGGCACAGTAATGCGGACTCGTGCACCGAGTTGAGTTGTCCAGCAATCGATTTTGGAAATGTGTTTGATGTGATGGTTTGAGATGAATGCCAAATGACCACGAATGTTACCCATTGTCATGACAGTTGATTGTTGATTCAAAACGTTGTTTGTTTGGTATTAATGGTTAGAGTGTCACTCATTGACCTGTCAGATCAGCAAGTGTTATTTTGGTGAGTTTCGTGTTTATTGTAGTCACATCAACATCAGCAGGTTGCACTACGGATTTGCTTGACAGAGTTGCAGATCCAGTTGGATTGATAGGCGAGCAACTGTGCAAACAACTGTGCGAGTTGCAGGATGTTTGAGATCCAACAAAACACTGCTTGCACACAAGTTCATGAATGCAGATTGTCAGACTTGACCATCAACTCGCAGTATAAATTGCATGTACGACAGTTTACACGCTTACCCATCAACAGTAAACCCACATAATCAGCAAACCGTTGACGAGCAGCCAGCTCAGTGGTCGGGTTGATGGTTTTTGTTGGAGTTTCTGGATCAAACTTGACCTGATTTGTACCGAGTTGGGTCATGACTACAAGTTTGACAGCAATAGATTGATGTACTAATAATCTGATCGTGTTGTTGATTGTATGGATGTTGGTAATCCGTTGCAGATTGATACGGAATGTGACCAGAATACCACAAAGTTTATTGAGTGTGCACATCGCATTCGATGCAAAGCACAATAAACAAATGCGAGTTGCAGCATTCATTCAAGGTTCGACACCAGTCGATACAGCATTGACCGCAATGGCATTTATGTCAACAATTGCACGATTACGGAATAAGTCGATTGTTGCTTGACATTCCGTATCGACAGTCTGCGTGTGTGTGCAACGTGCTGTTGTCGCATATAAACAACTTGAATTGACTTTGTGGACAAAACACAGTCACTGTTGCGGTAATGTTCACAGTCGTGGAAATGGTTTCGAATACCACAACTGGTATAACAACTACACGTGTTGGTGAGCAACCAGAGTCCAGTTTGACCAAGATCTGTCCCAGTAATGATCGAATGACATTGTCGTGTTTGGTCATCATGACAACAATGTCATTGGTTTGACTCTGCAACTGACCAAATGAGCTAGTGACAACGTTTCCAATTGAGTTCATATTACTTGTGAGGATCGTGAACATATGACGGCACTGATAGCCGACATTATTGTCAAGTGTGTTGCAGTTGATCAAGGATGTAAAGGAATGAATCAATATTCGATTACGTCATTTATTAACAAGTGAGTGAGTGTTCATAAAATGGAAGAAACCAAGAAAGTCATGTGAATTCCAGTTCAAACGTCATTGTTGAGGGTTTTTGATTGTTAAACTATTCAGAAATGTCTCACATTCACACACTACTAATGTCTCACACAATGCAAGTCAACACTCTCACACTAGTAATGTCTCACATTAATGAGACATTAATTCTGGTGTAAATTTGACTAATTTTCAAATATTTAAATCGTGTGAATTGTCTTGAAATATCCCAAAATTTTGTTATTTTGACTCGATTAAAAAGTCGATTTTTGTTTTACAATTTGACAAATAAATTGCTTTTTTACTCTTTTTCTTTTCATAAAATGCCAAAACGATACCTCAATGTTGAATACGACACTATTTCTACTGAAATCGATGTGACTGACTTTGAAGACCTGAGTGACGTTCAGGATGCTATCAAGTCTGAGTATGGTCCTGCTATGGCTGACATTGATGCTCCTCAACTCCAACTCTACACCAACACCAACAAAAACCAACTAATCAACACCTGGACTTTACTCGACTCTCTTCCTCAAGAATACTTTACTCAAGATGGTTCTTGTGCTGTTATTGGTTGTTTCCCTCCACCTTCAAGACAGCCTACTCAAACTTACCTTTCTGCCGCAGGTTCTACTTTAACAGCAGGATACAAGAAAAGAAGAACAAGTGAATGGGAGAAAGTATCAACACTTGCTCAACTTTCATACGACCCAAATTTGACCATTTTCAAACTTGACACAAATTACTTGGCCAAGACTGGCCTATCTACTGAAAAACTCATTCTTTATTGCCGTCCAACTTTTCATGAGCAATTCAGTTTTTTACGGGAAAAAGTCATTGATAATGGGGTTCTTGGTTGGATTCTAGGACCACCAGGAACTGGCAAGTCGACTACTGCTCTGGAATTTGCCTCAACTCTGGACAAAAATGACTGGGTTGTTACTTGGATTCATTTGTACATAGATTGTTATCCAGTATGTGTTCGTTTGGAGGGCGATTCAAAGAAATCCCAGGAAATCTACGACAGCAATATCGACAATTTTTTTGATATTTTGCATAAAGTAGATGAATCAAAACAACACATTGTGTTTATTGATGGATACACTTCAAATGGACAAAAACACATTGATGTACAGCAAGCTTGCTATTCATGGCTCGAAGAAGACTGAGAAAAAAGAAGATTGGTTGTCGTTTGTTCAATGTCCTCACGTTACAAAGCAAAGTTGGAGGAAGATATGCTGTTGAATATCAAACAATTCAACGTCTATTCTTGGAAGGAAGAAGAGTATATTCATGCTGTTCAAAATGACGAATTCTTTAACCATGTCAAGGCTGTTTTGGATTCTGATTTACAGATTGATTCGTCTCGTGAAGACTTGGTCCGTTCTAAACTATACTTTGCGGGTGCTTCTGCCAGATGTATGTTTCTTTTTGCGACCAAAGATGTGATCCAACAAACATATGGATCAATCACTTTTGTCAATGATATTTTTCCATACGTCAAAGGCACAATAGGCGATCAGTCTAATAATGTCGTGGATCGTCTCTTCAGTTCAAGTTTAGTAGAGAATGATGTGTTCCCTCGAAAAACATCTATTGTCAGTCGATTTTCCGGGGTTATGTTGGCCATCAAGGCAGGACCAGACCTGATTCGTAAATTGGTCAAAGCTACTCGGCATGATGGAAATCCTTCTATGAATGGTTGGATGTTGGAAATGTGGTTCTTTGCCAGTCTTTATTACGACGGAGTAAAATTGTTTGACGAAAACGATAACGAATTTCAAACTTGGCCAGCATCCAATGTCAAAACTCTGGATATCAATGCTTTTCCTGCTCTACCAGAAAATAATGGTGTTTGGTTTAAGCCAAACAAATGGAACCAGGGAGGATTTGATGCTATTTTCTTGGAGAAAGGAAAAGGGTTGGTTAGATTCGTTCAAGTAACTGATGGCAACACACATTCATTCAAAATCGAGTATTTCCACAGTTTTTTGCTGATGCTATGCCAATCGCCTCAATCGTTTGAGATTACATGCTTGGAAATTATCTTTGTTGCTGACCAAAAGAAACGCTCAACTTTCAAGGTAGCCGAACCATCGGCACCAGGCATGTTAACAGATTTTGGTTGGAGACTCGGTGAAGAGTTGGATAAAGTCAAAGTTGTTTTCATAAAGGGATGGTGCGATTAATTTGTAACTGCCGTCGTCTATCATAAAGACAGTGTATTCTAGTTAAAGCAGAAAGTATGAATCTGGCACAAAAAGATCCTGAAATTTTAAACTAATAAACAAGCTGGTACTTTATTTTAAAGATTTGACAATTTTCCTCATCTCCGATAATTTGATGTTTTTTGGCAACTTTGGACATAGTTTGGCTGTAAACACTGGTTGATAAAACTGGTATCAGTCGGTGCCCAATATATACTACTAACAAGTATTTGAAATCATTTGATGCAGAATGCCCAATAGACATGTTTGCTCATACAATAACCCAAAACATACACACGCATCTGGAAAAAGTATCTTACATTAAACCATCAAAAATATGGTTTGATTAAACTACTAAACATTCACCAATCCCTGCAAACACATGGGTGTACAATGATTTATCAAAAACTAATATTAAAAACACTGATCATACTACAGTGCAATACAATTGTAAAAACCTGTCCGAGTTGTTGAAACATTACAATAGTTTGGATGTAAAGCCTGCGACTGGAGCAACAAAAAAGTTGACCAGCTTGTTCAAAACAATCCATTTTGATATTCATAAAGTTGCCATTAACATTGTTGACGTGTCTGTCATATGTATGGAATATGAATGAGCATGACGTTGAATTTAAACTGTTCAAGGGGAATGAAACTCATATCAGAAATATAAAGATTTGAACATCAGATTTGCAAGCATTTGATTTTGTGAGTAGTCAATGGGTAGTCAATAAAAGGTCAGTATGGTTTTGTTTTTACTGGACAAGTCTTGAGCAAGTCTTGGATTCTGCTTGATTGATAAACCATCAATTCGTGACGCAAGTCTTGATCTGCGTCTTGCCAAAGTTGATCAATTTGATATTCCCTTGACCAGTTAAAATCATGTTTCCTGGTCTCAACTCCTCATAAACTACATCAACCGATTACAAGTGTCGAATAACACAATCCAACTCACTGTCTGTTCTCCAGTCACAGTGCTTTCCAGGAATAAAGTACAATACGGATGTCAATACGACACCATCAATACCACACTGCATATATTACATTCCAAACTCATACAATACAACACTAATTGATCAATATCGAACCGGTTGATGACGCAATCTACATCCGACTTTCAACAAGTGTATTACTCCGTTTGTTGTACAATGTACGACATGGTCAGTCGGTGGTATCATGCAACTGACAAGTGATTGCAAGTATGACTGGTAGTTACAATCAACACTGGTTGTTATCAGGTTATTGATGTATATGTAACAAGCCGTGTCAATGTATCAATCAACAATCCAATACCCAACACAGTATACAATCAATGATATGATTGTTGACCCATTCACGATACTCGGTAAACACCAATACATTAGAAAGTTTAAATTGATTCAAAATCAAATTCATTAACAAATCATCAATCCAAATTCGGCTCTTCAAATTTCAAACCATGCTTTGCCATAAACTTTTTTAGTCTTCGTCTCATATGCTCTGCTTGTTTTCTTATTACAGTGTACTTTTGTTTCAAGTCCTTTTCAGCTTCTGGGGTGTACTCTGGCTTGGGCATATTTTTGCTCTCGGCTAATGCTAACTTTTGTTTGGCTTTAAAGATTGCATAATTAAAATGGGCTTGTTCTTTTTTCTTTAGTATTTCTTTAAGCGTTTCCTTTATGTAATCAAGGGTTTCCTGATCTTGTTCGTTTAGTACAGTTTCCTGATCTTGTTCGTTTAGTACAGTTTCCTGATCTTGTTCGTTTAGTACAGTTTCCTGATTTGAACTAGTATTTGCAGGTTCACCTTTGTCAATTGGCCATTTTCGACCTCGTTTTGAAGCACTCGGGCCGGGTTGGTATGTCGGATCTTGCAGTTCTTCTTCAGAAGTATTTGGACTGGGCTGATCAATTGGACGTTTCCGACTTTGTTTAAAAGTACTTGGACCAGCTACAATCATTGTCTGCTGCTGGTCTTGACTGGCAGTATTTGGACTGGGTTGATCAATTGGTTGTTGTTGGTCTTCTTCAGGAGTATTTGAATTAATTATACTCATTACTTGCCAGTCTTGTCCGGAAGTGCTTGGATTAGGTTCATTGGTTGAACCTGACACTTGGCTTGAAGTGCTTGATGCATGGGTTGAACGATCGCTACCAGCCGATATCAGTACTGCATTGGCAGTTGCTACCGCGCTCAGTACGAATAAAATGCTGAATTTCATTGGGGCGATAAATGAGTTTAAACAATTAGCACAAGCAGAGTGTTGAAACTGATGTCGATTATAAAATTGAATGTAATCGATTGTATTTGTATGTTTTGTATATTAAGCCAACCCTAACCCTTATAGGTTAACCAGTTATACAGGGTTACTTGATCGCTTGTAATGGGCCACTATCAAACCATAGTATGCTGCTCCCTATTCATAATATCATATTGATCGATTTGATGATCATGCCGATTAGATTATGCTTTTACGACCCTTTGATCAGGTATATTGAAAAGCACACCCTCCAAGGGTGTTGTTTAACCGCAAATGCTTTGTTTTACAATCGTATTCAAGAATTATGACATGGTTTCAATAAACCAACAACAACTGAACAAATGACATTGCGATGATTATTCACAAAACAAGGAAATCAAACGACAATGTTAGCGATGATTATGTTGAACAATATTCATGATTCAAATATCGACAGTCAAACATTGGTTAACCAACAGTTGTACGATTATACAACTGGTTTGTGTATTGACAAGTGATCAACATCGATCCGGTCATAGTTGAAACGGTGTATCACAGGACTCGAAAGTTGACAGTATTGTTGTGGTGTAATATTAGCAATCACGCACAACTTGACATGAATGACAATGTTGATGTCGAGACTGTCAATGTATTGATCAACAGTGACTACAATCAATCCATTAGATAGAAAATGAATATTATTCGGATCGAGTATTCCAAGCTTATACTCATTTTCACTCTTGAAAATAGTGGAGGACGTTGCATATCATCATTATCCAAAATAACACACCATTTTGACATTTGAATAAAACAATTTTCAAGTATGCTATGTAGCATTGAATAATAGTCAAAATAAAACCGTTTTTCAGTATAGATTTTACCAAAATAACGTTTTTTCAGCACACTAAAAAGTAGTTACTACATAGTCCATAAGGAACATTCATTAAGCGTTTAAACCTTTTACTAAATTAAATTTATACTTGACGACTATTAGCGCATGTCTAACCAAAACTTGTTATAGGAGCTAGAGTAGACAGATTTAGCGCCGGTTAGTATGCTGAGAAAACTTTCGTTGGTCATCACGAGGATTTGTATATGACGAGCTGTTATATCCTGAACTGGATTGTGTAGGAAATGAATGCCTTTGGGAAGTGCCTTGTATAGTTGTAGGATTTTGGTAGAGTTGCTGATGATGAGGTGGAGGTGGTTGGACAGGTAGTTGTAATGGTTGACTATGTGGATGTTGCTGTGTTTGAAACCGTTGGTGATGTTGTAAATTGCTACTGGAATATGAATTACTAGGTAGATTATGCTGTTTTTGTTGTGTAAGCAAAATGCGTTGCTGTTGTGATTGATGAGCAGACTGTAAAGGCAGCAGATGCGGATGTGGATGTGGATGAAGGTTGTTCACTGAGATCTGAGGTGATAGCTGGGGGAAATGACCGTTTTTGGGGCGAAATCCGCCAGACGTGAACGTTGTAACATGTACTGGTGGAATAACAGATGGGGGATACATGGAATTCGGTATATTTGGTGGAGATCCAGATAGTCGACGAGAGATGGATCCAGAATTAGTGTAGCTATGAGCAGGATTATGACTAGATGAACCTTGACCATTGTAAAACAGTGCATTGGTATGTCGAATTGGACTGTGCGATTGATTGTATAAAGTATGTGGATGAAGTTTTTGTGAATGTTGTTGAAATGGAGGGCGCTGTGGAAGAGGTTGGCCGGGTCGAAGTGTGGGTTGTATTCCCTGATAAAACTGCTGTGGAATTGGACGAACATGTGATGGGATAGATGCTTGCGAAGAGAGCGCAGAGTCGGTATGTGATTGGTATACAGATCGCGATTGATCTTTTAAATAAGATTGATTGGACGATTGAGAGATTGGTTTTATAGACATGGGCGACGCAGGTTTCGAAAGAGGTAGTCTCTCCTCTACTGAAGTGTCTATGCGTTCACGATACGTCTTCATTGCAGAAATATCTGCCTCGGTTACAGAATGAGGCTTTCCCCATGCTTGCAAAAACTCGGGATCTATATCTGGAGGAGCGCCATCTAGAGTGTCCAAAATAGGTCGTAGCCACGTTTCCTCGCGAGATTTTTTTTGCTATAGATCAAGTAATATAACAGGTAAATTAAAATATCAACAAGGCACCTAGATCCATTGTTTTATTGGATGTCGATACAAAAGTAAAGTCAGACAACATACCCTTTCCCTATCTTCTTCCATTCTCCTTAGTATAGCATCTTTTGCCTGCTGTGAGATTGTTTCGGAGCTATTTAAAGCAATATCGCAAATGTAAAAAATCAGTAGACATATCAAGATGAAATCGCCTTCAAAACAAATGCATACTCTATAGACTTGTCCATCCAGCTAGACAAAAACCCATCCAACTGGGCATACTGATCAGCAGCAATAATATCTTTTCCTCGCCAGTAGCTTAGTACCTTTCGAACGTTTCCGACATTAGCAACACCTTCTCGGTGAGGTTTTCTTGCTAAAGACCCATCCTTTGATCGCACGCAATCGACCACGCATTCAACGAGTTTTTTGTGGTAAAGTCTTGTGAGTTCAACATATCCAGTAAACTGAAACTTGATACTTTGTTTGCAGAGGGCATCTACGACATAGAATAGATTCAGCCGACTCAATAGTGTCGACTATCATGAAATTTAACGGATGTTGAACGCATTTACAGTTTGAATGTGTCAGAATATATAATGCAAGAATGAGTAATCTGTTTATATGCTTTAATAAAACTATAAAGCCTTTAAAGGCTGAATTGAAACAGTGTTTGGGATTTGAGCAACTGGCGACAAGGCCGGCTAGTTTCCTAAGAAAACAAGTGCCGGCTCATAATGACTGAAGCGACCAGAACAAAGCCATCGACAGCCATAAATTCACAAATAGCCAAGACTCTTCATGCAGTCGCTGTTTGAAATATACCAAAAAGACTTTAAATAGAACAAAGATAAATTCAACAAACCAATGAAATACCTCTCCCATTACAGTAATCAAGTCTTCAAAGAGAATGAGATGGTGAACACGGAACCGGTAGGCAAACAAAGAGACTTTGTGGATGTTTGAGGCCGACAAACTACCCTTGAGGAGTTTTACAAATAGTTGGCTGACATCGAATGGATCAAGATCATCGGTTAAGTTGTCCATCCGAGTTGCTAGTGGAATACAACTTCAAAGTTGGTCGAGTTCAAACACAAGCAACACTGCTAAAGCATGTGATATCACGTGATAATTGAATTGGTTTGAATTGGCTGGCAAGTATCGACCATATGGCCATTGCAACGATAGTACTGCGAGTGTATAAAGGGCACTTTTAATGACAGACTATCCGTTCAATATCCTGTTTTTAGCAGCTGGATACGGAACCAGGCTTGCAAGAGATATTCAAAACCATCTTCCATCGAGTCAGTATGTCCACTTGTTAGATACTCCAAAAGCACTCTTGCCAGTCACGAACGTTCCTGTCCTCGATCACTGGATACATAAACTACAGTCGCATTCATCATCTATACCCTATGCAACACTCCATGCACAAAATAGACCGCCACCATCCAACGTCTACATCGTATGCAATGACCACTTTTATCCCCAATTTCATCAATGGGCTTTGGATCGAGGACTGCCTCTTGCACATATTATCAACGATGGTACAGTGAGCAATGAAACTCGACTGGGTGCAGTGAAAGATATAGCTTTGGCTGTCGAGAAACTGCAGTTGGGATCAAAGCCTTTGGTGGTTATTGCAGGAGATACTCTTCCACTGGCTGACTTCAACTTTGACGACTTTGTTCAAGCTGGAATGCGCGGATTACCCGCTTCCATGGTAATGTGCTATCCGGTCGCCCATGAATCAGAAACTCTCAAAACAGGTATACTTGAGGTGGTCAAACCTGAATGCGTTGATCAAGGCTCTTCACACTCCTTGCGAGTGACTGGGTTTATTGAAAAACCTCATCCGTCCGAAACCAAGTCAAGATTGGCTTGCCCTTGCTTGTATTTTCTCTCTCAGCCTGCTTTAGCTCTCCTTCCAACTTTCTTTGATGATGCGGCCAAGGTATTCCAATCAGATACTGTGAAAGCCATCACAAAAGGGACGCTGTTGGATCGTATTGATGCGAGTGGCAAGTTCATTGGATGGTTGATTTATCAGCATCCAACTTTTGCTTTTCGGATTTCTGGAAGATTGGATATTGGAGATTTAGAGTCATTTATCGAGACTGAAGAGTATGTTCGTCAGCATAAGGTCCTGTGACGCGGCGGTATGGTTTGTCGAGTAGTTGTTAGAATAGTTTGATCAAAGATTCTTTTTACGAATACAAGACCTTCATTTTTATGTATGTTCACGTTGTGAATTGAGTCATGTTTAGTAATGGCCAAAAAAAATGTGTTTCAACTAAAAGAATGTATTGATATCACTTTAAACCAAAACAATATGCATTTTCCATTGGCTCAGGATCCCATTTAACATTACAAAGTTTGTTCTGTGAATCTCACACCTTCGCGTTCAAGCTTCTTTAGCATAGGCTCGTATATGTCTAAAGACATGGGTGCAATCACGCCACGGCGTTTAAGCGATCCTATCAAAAATACCCGTGCAAAACATCAATTAGTACCATTTACAACTTGATCTAGTCCTTCATCAACACTACACCTACCATCAAGAATCATTTCAGTGGCAATAGCAGCAGGCAAGCCAACAGTCTTGGCCATGGCAGAGTACCCATTGGTTTCACCATACGCAATCATGGTAGATGTTCGAGTTTCCTTTTTGCCATTTCCGTGCTGGATACCAAATACGTGGTGCATGGCGACCATATCACGTTCGCCTGGAGTATAAACTAGCTTGCGCTGAAGAAGAGCACATAAGCTGTCGAGAATGGAATCGCCCTTTTCTGCACCTTGAGTTTCCGAGGTGATTCCAAGCCATTTTAGTGCAGCAACAACACGATCAAGCTTGGCAGCCTCCATTGGGTTGGATGGATTGAGTGCAAGTTTTTTTGCCAGATCAGTTTCAATATTCGATCCAACCAACTGTTTCAGTAACTCTCCCTAAGTAATCAAGCATTTATGATTGCAGTATCAACATTAGACAAGCATAAAATAATAAAAACGAATAGGCAATTTGATCCATAAACACATGATGAAACAAAAGACACACCCAGGAAATACCAGTAGAAAGCTCAGGCCGTAAGGTTGTATCCAAAAGTCCTAGCTGGTTAAACGCACCCATGATCTCTGCATATCCCTTGTATCTCAAAGTACCTCTAAACATTGAGTCTAGATCTTCCAAATCACCCAGATTGTATAAATCAGTATAAACCAGCGAGTCGCGATTGGCAACTCCTTCAAATGCAAAGCCCTTGAAAATGGGTACATTAAAAACATTCTTCATCAACTCTGATCCAGGAATGTTGTGCACCTTGCCGTCCATCTTGAATTTGGCTGAATTAAGCCCTGCAAGAAGAACTCCCTTTGGACTCCAGCTGAATTTGTAGCCAAGAGGATTGTTGGAGGCTTCTGGGGCTGGAAGACCACCGCACCATGACACGAACGAGGTGATCCGGCCACCAGCAGATTTCACTTGATTAAAAAGCTGGCAAGCAGTAAGATGATCAATTCCAGGATCAAGACCCACTTCATTGACAAATGCAAGACCTGCATCCTTTGCACGTTGGTCAAACGCTTTCATGGCTGGTGAGATATAGCTGGCAGTGACTAGATGTTTTTTGTGTCGCAAACACTGCTCAGCAATAATGGGATGGAGGGTGGCTGGAACAAAACTGACAACAACATCGTGAGCATCCACTAAACTAGAAAGCTCAGTCTGATCAGAAACATTCAGTGGAACAACTGTTGTTGCACTACGACCATCGGCAAGTCTTGTAGCTTCGCTTTTGGAATTGCTGGCAATAGTCACATGTGTTCCAGGAGTACGCAATAAGTAGTCCACAAGTGGGCCAGCAACAAATCCAGATCCAAGTAAAAGAACACGCTTGGTGCCAGAAATTTTGACAGAACCAGTATGGCCATGTTCAGGAAGATGATTTAAAAGATGTTGGTGACGATCAACGAGATCACCATTCAAAGTAGTAATTGAAGCGCGCTGAATTACTGGGTGCTCAGTGTTACCTTTGGCCAATTCCGAAACAAAAGGGATAAGTGACTTGCTAAAGTATTCACTGGATTCCAAAGGCAGCTCGGTAGGAAGATTATCAATGGACATGATTTGGATTCCACGGCCCTCGGCATTGTGATGGGTGGACTTGCTGATTGGATCATACATAAAGGTAGGAGCGTCAATGGTGGAAGCTTCACTCATGAATTCAAATGGACCATTGATGTCACAAGAAATATCGGCCAGAGTAAGTAGACGCAAGTTATTTTCAACAGCCAACTGCTCAGTTTGATCGATAGTCATCAGTCGAGGATATTTCTCTGTCCAAAACATTCCATTGACAATGACACTAACGTGGGGTGCAATTTTTTCGTGAAATATAGATTTAAAGTCATCGGGGTGCTCAAAATAATCTTTGCGCACAAACTTTCCACCATCCTTGCGAACCAAATAGTCTTCTGGAAGAATCTTGCAAGCATAAACCTTGTTTGTATCAAAATCTGTGGATGTAGCAAGATTGGCAAGATCGTTTGCAGAAACCCATTCATGTGGAAGCTTTTCAAACACATGGAGAGCTCCTTGAACAACATTTCCGTCGCCAATAAAGGCAAACACCATGGGTCCAAGTTGCTTTGGAAGACCCAGATTTTTGATGGCAGCGCCAGTATCAGCCACGTCCTTGCGACCATCTTCAAGAGATCTATACTGATACGACATGCCCATACTCTATGATATACAAATGTATTAAAGCCTTGTGCTGACAATACACACACGATCAAAATTTACCAAAAATGGAGTGCCGAATCCAAGACCAAGAAGACGATGACCAACAGCGTAGAGAGTATCAATCATTCCTATAAAATGAAACATTAAGAAAACAGAAGCATTAGATGAGAAGCCAATTCATGTACAGAATGCGATTGAATTTTGAAACGCAGCAGACAGACCAGCATAGCCAGCGAAGCGACTAAATTGGACAAGACGAGCGCCTTGTTCGTTGGTCATGAGTTCATAATCCACCAAACGGATCTTTTTTTCAAGGACGCTTCTGAGCATCGGCATGTTGTATTTCTGAGCCTTGTGTGTATGGGAAAAGTAAATGTACGTCTTTTTAGGAATGAGTTGGGCAATGGGAACCTCTTTGACACCAAGAATGATGTCGGCTTTGGATAGATCATCTTGAACAATGGCACCAGCCTAAGATGATTGAGAATTAAAAGGCAGTGTAAATTGGTTAATACGCTTGACATGAAGCGCCAATCTTGACAGCAATGTGCATGAACCTCTCTGTATTTATCATCAGAAATAACTCGCTTGGTGCTAGGTTGCAGATAGACTTTTGCACCAATATCTTTAGTCAGATGCAACACTTGCTCAGGCATCAGCGGTACTCGTCGCTCCCATCTGTTCTTTCCTTCACGACGAATTCCGATAGAAAGACAAGTAGCAGAAGCACTGTGGTGACTTGAGCGTAAAAACGCAGTTGAATGCACAACAGATCGAGTGCGTAGCAAAGAAGCAGAAACCAAAGACGACAGCATGATGAATAGCAGCAAAGATTTCAATTGTCGATTTGACAGCAAGTCAGCAGCCGAGTCTTTGGACCCCAAATTTAGGGTCTGCGCTGTATTCTAGCCATGGTTGAATCTGCAGCAATTCAACCAGTTTTCCCATCAGATTGTTGCTGATATCATGGCTCCTGTTCGAGTCACTTCTAAATCAAGACTGCCAGAGTATCTGCTGGACTCTCCGCTCTCAAAACTACTTGTTTCTTCATCACCAACTACCACTCAACTTCCACTGTTTGCTCAACTCACCAGCAGTCATCTACAGTCAGATCTGGCCAACCATTCTGCCAATACTACTCATACTGCTGACCATCCTAATCCTGCTGCTAGTCGGAATGATGTGTCTACTATGTCTGCTTCTGATAGAACACCCTCTTCCAGTCATCAGCAACATGTTTACTCTCAGATTCAACCACTCTCCGACAATCCTGCTAAAAAGTTACCTTCCTTTGGCTTGCAATCTTATGCATTGCCCTCTTCATGGAATCCTAAAGATAAAGGTTCCATTCTAGATCTGTCCAACAATAATGTGCGCGTGAGTTATCAAGGTATAGTTTCTGTATGGTTGCTGTCAACACCTCTAATCGATTGATATTGCCTTCTAACTCGCAAAATTCAACCAGGCTCTGGAAAATCTGATGCTGATGCTGCTTCGGTCCGTGCAAATACATTTATTCCTCCTCAGACTGGCATCTATTATTTTGAAATCGCTGTAACGAGCAAGGGCCGCGATGGGTAATTTAGGCTTGATATTCATGTGCGTGAAATGCAAATGTTGAATCACTAATTTGGATTTTAATGTCTGTTTTAGGTATATTGGGATTGGCTTTAGTACATCTACTTTTGAACTGAGTCGACTTCCAGGTTGGAAACTTGCTGAAATTGTGCTGCTTACCAACTCATACTTTTACTGACTATTTTAAATGTGTAATGACTGCATACTTGACTTTAATTTAGGCTGGGATGATCTTTCTTGGGGTTACCATGGTGATGATGGTAATATATTCAGCGGTGCTGGAAGTGGCAAATCATACGGACCCACATATACAACAGGCGATATTGTTGGCTGCTGTATCAACTTTATGAACATGACTGCCCTGTTTACAAAAAACGGAATTATGCTTGGTGTTGCATTTCAAAACATACTTCGCGACAAAAAACCTGGCCTAAAACTATACCCATCGATCGGTCTGCGAACTCCTGGAGAAGTAATTGAAGCTAATTTTGGTCAACGACCGTTCAAATTTGATATTGTTCAGTATTGTCGAGAAGAGCGCATCAAGTTTAAATCAACTTTGAATGGAATTTCACTCAGTAGCTTGACGTGTGCCGGTACTGCGTCTACAGATGCAAATATGCATAATGTGTTGGGACGACCACTTTGCGAATCAAAAATTATTGACAATGTAGTCCTGTCATATTTGATTCATCATGGATACAGTCAGGCTGCTACAAGTTTTTATACTTCTGCATTTGGAAACTGCGACCTCGATAATCAACCTCAAATGAACTTAGAAGCACTTTCCAGCGAGTCTGGTTCTCTAGCCAACCAATTCCCTGGCAAAAAAAGTATGCATATTCGAAAAGGTAGGCGCAGGAATTTGCCAGTACTTATGGCTTTGATGATTTAATCTATATATATTTATCTGTACTGCGATTGGTTTTATCCTTATTAAAAGTAACCAATTATTCAACTCAATAGACATTCAACTACTCATAATTCAAGGCAAAATCGAATCTGCTATTGCAAAAATAACACAACACTACAGTGACATGCTGAAAGAAAATGAAATTGTTCGATTTCAGCTGGACTGCCTCAAATTTATTAACATATCTGCTGGTTTTGACTTTGATTCCAATCAAGGTCAAGACTGCAAAGATGTAGACGCCATGGATGTAGATGAAGGTCAAACGGACAAGGTCAATCCAACCGACGGTCTTGCTGATGCTTTACCTGATCAATGGATGATATTGATTGAATTTGGACAAAAAATGAACCAGGTGTACGGATCTAATGCATCGGAGAGTATTCAAAATGCACTTCAGGTAGGTTTGGTTATTAGCTGATTAATCTGTCTGAATGTGTATTCTACAATTTAGTCTATCCTTGATATGTCAATGTAACTGTGCTTATTGTTTAACACCGTGACTATTTAAATCATATCTTCAATGGATAATAGGAACTATTTTCACTCATTTGCTATCCAGATCCACACAAGAGTCCTGTGTCATATATGTTGGATATATCTGCTCGGCAAACTGTGGCTAGTAATGTTAATGATGCAATGCTTTCAATGGAGTCGCTTCCTGTTATACCTATACTTGATACTTTGGTGCGCCAAATCAAGTTGACTCACAGCTTACTTGTCAAGGAGGATGTTGGCGCAGCATCTTTTTGTGATCCTGAGCGTGACTATATGTCATGATTTACACTTGCTATAATGTTTTCAAGTATTAAAGTTATGGCATTGTTGTGCTGGAGCTAGGTGGGGGACTCGATTTGTTATTCCCTTTGGTTTGCATGGTTTCCCTAATTTAAATACATTTATCTAGTCCCAATACATAATTTGAATGAATGCTTGAGCATTTCTTATGTATTTGCCAATTATTAATTTTCCTATTGCTCATATGATTTCTGGCTCGGCTCAACTATTTCCAGCCAAAACAGTTGGCTTAACTGTAATATTGGATACAATGAATTGACAGTTTATTCAATTGCTGCCAATAGTACTGATGGCTAGACTATTCAAAATCACCACCTTATTTCTTGACATTGGAAAGTGAATCAGCAGAACTAAATCCCTCATCTCGAGTTGCTTCTTCTCCGTATACTCGATAGATTGGATCCTGCATTCTTGCAAGCATTATGTTCCTTGATGTTAGCAATGCGCAGAATCCAGTCAATTCGATATGGCCCAAAACCAGACATGTCCACATTGCCCCCGAATAGTTTTTAGAACTTTTAGGTACTTTGATACGGGGATCTTGTAACGCGACTGTTAAAAGCACCATAATTACTACAGCTATGCTGACTCCAGCCGTAAGAATAAGGCCCCGAACATATGCAGCAAACAATGCCGATCGCTTTCCCCTAGACATTTTTTCTACATTGATTGAACGAGTTGAAGACGGTGACAAGGCGGTGGATGTATGTCTATGTTCATTATCCCGTTTAAGCTTTGATTGAATAGGATCCGTAGAGGTCTTTTTATCGTACAAAATACTATGTTTCGTTTCGAGTTTTTTTAAATCAGCGCCATCTTCATCTTCTTCAGAGTCTATACTTACACATCCGAGCATTTCGATTGCTTCACTAAGAACTAGAATATATTTTATAGCGCATGTAAAGTCTATTGCTACTACAATCATAATCCACGGCCATGTTATATTTATATACCACTATCACAACAATATACACATGGGACATGAAATTAAATAGACGTGTCAAATTAGTATATGTAACTATCAACTTTTTGCAAAGTCGATGTACAGTAACAAGATTTGACTTACCATCATCTCCCAATAATTACTATTGGGTTTAAACCCAAATATGGCCCTGTCGTACACAGGCTTGACGGTAAAAAAATGAACAGCTACAATAGCAGTTTGCATCAAGATACTCCACACCCTTGCAGAAGCAATCTTGCACATGCATCCTTTTTTGTCCCCACTACTTCGTTTTGGTCCAAAACACGGTGATAGAGTTTGGATTTGAAGCAAAACATGCGCAACCGAAGATAGGCTGATAAACACTGCAATGAGAGCAGTCCATTCCACATCAAAGTATAGATTTACTGTTTGTGCAATAAGACAGCTGAGGAGTGCCAGGGTTGTTAAAAAGAGGGATGCTGCATGCCATGTTCGAGCATAGATTGCATAGCGTGAAATATGGACGGTATTGATTAGAGATACGACAAGAGATGTTCCCGTTGCGAGAGTTATGATTAGTGATAAAATGTAAACTTTTGTACTTTGTATTCCCATCTTGTAGCCGTATTCAGGTAAAATCGAACACTAAATAAGAGTGCCAAAATACATAACCAGTTTTCATCAAATTTACTGAGCATTGTGTTATCTAAACTCAAGCTCTCTGATCTTTTTCCGTGCTCATCTTGTGTAAAAACCGAGCCAATGTTCGTATTTCTGTTTCAATAAACTCCACATTTCTTGAACCTCCAACTCTCTATACCAAACATTACAAGTGAGCATCGAGTGATTAGCATGAATAAAATTGTATTCCCGAGACGTGCAATCTTTGGTTTCTTGAACTAGAGCGCAAACGCATGAGTTTGACAATAAAGATGAGTGAGAACAGTTGATTCCAATACATGAATGAGTTTGACGATCGTACAATGTATGGCTATACCAAAAGTGGAGAAAGAGCAAATTGTGTTTAAGGAATTCAAAATGTCATTGAGACGATCAACTGTAAAAAAGTGCAGCGAATAGCTAGCCATTGCCTATTCCAGAAGCAGCCAAGATAGTGTCTCGTTTACGCAAGTACAATTGCAAGATAACCAATCTGTGGCTTGACTTTGATTTCCTTACCGCCACTCTTGCCATCAACATATTCCTATCCGCCATACACTTTTAAAGCCGGTTATTGTCTGATTAGGGTTTCACCATCATAGAAAGACATTGGTCAACTCGAAATATACAAGTTTCTCACATTAGCATGAAAGTTTCTCTTGTTGCAATACTGTTGTTTTTGGCCTTCCCTGTATTCGCTGTAGTGCTTTCAACTACCTCAAAAGATGCATTGGTGCAATCTAGTTTGAATACAGTAGAGATTGATACTCAATCACAACCCGATTCGTCAGAATCGGTGGAACACCCACTGCGAACATTTGTTCGCCTTGATGCAATGGCAGAGAACCTAGCAATAACCTGGAGAAACCTCTACCAACAAAACCTCAAAACAATGACCAAAGCAACTCGACGAGGAGTTATTGAAGCAGAAGCTCAAATGAAGCAAGCACAACAATCCTCTTTGGACGCTCGGTTAGCTGCACTAAAGGCATTTTATGGTGATCAGTATGAGCGATATGTCTCTCCGCTTATAGAGGATGTGCCAATCTTGCCACTGGACTTTGAACGCAAGGTTGCTGATGAACGATTGACGTATTTAGCAACGCTTCACTTATAGACCTTGTTTTGGTCTGACGTCTGTTATTTCTGATATAAGCTATAGCTGAGGTGATGGAGCAAATCGACTGGGATTGCACTCCTTGCAACATCCTCTCTTTAGCGCATCGGTACCTTTAAACGTGCTAGCTTTCCTTTTCATTCTAGATATAAGCAAGTCTCTTATTCTCTTACTAACTCGATCATTCAACCCAAATAAATTTATACACTTTAAACTTTTGTTTTTGATTTGTTGATGGCCATCTCAAACTCGTTGAGCGTTTTGAATATATCTTTCGAGGAACTTGTATTCTAGCAGAATTCAGATGTCAATCAAGATCGATGGATTGGTAATTTTGAACTCGTTCAGCAACATTTCCAGTGTCTTGACCAGCCAATGCTGCTAGCATTACCACAATGCCATTGTCTTGAGAGCTTTAATGTCCAGAAATAGGATTTGGCTTTTGACAAGTTGCCAAATCTCAATTCCTTTGTCATCACGTGGCAAATGGTTTTCCAGAATGAGCAATTGATTCGTTGCCAAACTCTCCAAGTTTTAAAATTGTGTAAGAGATAGTGCATCAACAGTGCTCGCTAACTCTATAGCATATTCGATACAAAAGTTACTATAATGGTAGATACTGTTGCGTCATCAACAACTCCACATGTATATCTATCCGCAAAAGAGGATTTATCTAGGAGTTCGCGTTCAATGGATTCATTCGATATCTGTTTTCAAGAACAAATATCTTATTTTGAAAAAGCTACAACGCCAGGATCACAGAAAATATCTACAGCCCGGCCAAAGAGTGCAAGAATAAGACAACAGCCCAAACCCGATTTACTCATAACCAGTCTCCCCTCCACGCCAATCTCTCATCATAGATTATTTCACAGTCGAAAGAAACTGAATACAGAAGCAAATAATTCAAATGCGAGCATGGTGATATCACAAAAAAATACAAGGCCTTGTTCTGCTCCAAATAGACCTGCCACATCTGACGACAAATCAATAGCCTCCAACCCTATGGTAAACGTTTACGATCAACCCCAATCTCAATCAAACACTGCACGCCCAGTGACTGCAAGACTACATTCAAAAAATTGCACATCACAAGCACTTGCATCCTTGATATCCAACACGTCTCGTTCGGCTTATACCTATCCTACATCACATTCACGACCAGACCACTGTGACGCGTCTGATATCGATTCCTCTCCAACTCGATCTGTTGCATCAGTGGGACTGTTGGGTAAAAGTCTGCCCCCACCCAACCCTACAACAGCACATAAGCGGTACACTTCTGTTTACCCGTGCTCTTCAAAAATCTTGGCACAAAAATGGGATGAAGCGGCTCGCAAAAAACATGCAGACAAAATCAAATCAATGAAATCGTGCGTAGACAATGCTCCATCAAAGCGAATGGCCCACTTGGATGTTCCATCTAAAAAGCTGCTGAATAAGCAAGGTTAGAAATTTGTATTGAACGTATGAGTGAAATCATTCATTTTGATGTGTATTTGTCTGCCCACATTTAGTGCTCTGTAATCGTTTATTATTGTAGCAGCATGTACCGTGGAGTGTTTCTTTGGTGGCTAACAATGAGTTGAATGGATTTGTTTTATATCTGAAAACCGCAGAAACTCTAAAAAAAATTGAAAAAGAAAATCTGATGTTGCTGGAGCGTATGCGGAGAATGTTCAGCACTCCATCATCGTATACTCTAATCAGTCCAAGACTAAAGCAAGAACGCGCACACAAGACAAAGGTTGGCCAACAAAAGCGTATTGATATTCACGATCAAATTAGCAAAGAGAACTCGGTAAGTTCTCTACGCATGCACTCCAGATTTTTCAAAAATCTCAGTTGGTTATATGCTTGGCAAACACTTATTTTTGATGTGTTTACATGATAGGTGTTGTTGCAAAGAGTTGAAAATAAGCAAGGTTTCTATCAAGTCAAAGACTATGTAAGAGATCGCAAGCAACATTTACAGTATCTGGTCAATATGACAAGGTTTCCTGAAGCTTACCAAGGTGCATTACGTCGAGAGCATCTATCCGTCAGCAAGCCATCCACAGCAAATCATACAAAAAACAACTGTAATCATCATTTTAAGCACAACAATGCTAGCCATTCGTCAAAATCTGCTAAACCTCATCAGGTAAAACAGGAAAATCTCTCCACTTCTACTCTAGATAATACTACAGGGTCATATCACAAAAATATTGCAAACCCGAAATTTCAAAAGCCAGAAAGCACAACTTTGAGCCAGCATGTGTCATCAATAGAACAGCTTCAAAATCATTGTCATTTGAAATCAGCTCAATCTCAAGGCGATTTGAAGTCGAATTCAGTTCAAACCAATGGGCCCGTGTCTAAAAGTTCTCCAGAGTTGGGTATTTTAAAGCAGGACGATGCTGCATTTTGGTATGATTTTGAGGATTTTGAGGATGATAGGCTTGCAGGAACTGCACCACTTGAATACCAGTCTGCGCCGATTGTCGGAATTCCATTTATGCTGCATGAAACCAAGCCAGCACACGGATCAGAATTATCTGTCTCGGTTTCTGGAGAATCAGCAAAAGAGTCTCCAGTTTTATCAGTTCAAGAGTTACAATTGGATGAGTCAGCCAAGGATCATTCTTCGCTAGCTGCTAGTTTTAATAGTCTTGAATCTTTCAACTAAAAGAACTGTTTCAAATGGCCCGTTTTGTTTGAAATTTAAATCATTAGGTTAAATTCAAATGGTTTGACAGTATAAAATATATTGAATCGTCTTGCAGCCATATTCACGTAAAATGCAACGTTTATTCATCTTGCAATCACTGCCTCTATTTTGCTTTGGAATAAATAATGGTTGAATATTCCTTGTGCTTTTCTATTACAAACTAACTTTAATCGGCATTTTCAACCTTTTCTCAACATCTGGAATTGCACGCCACAACCATTTTAAATTATCAGCATAATTTCGGAATCGAAATATTAAGATCTACACGCAATATTGCTGTTTGTTGAACGACTGGCAGATCATGTCTAATCGCTGGATTTGATGAGTTATCATTCCATGAGATTGACTGTCTATTATGTATTCTAGTTTCCTTATTCAATGCTCCATTTACGTGGATAGGGTCATGACAGGCTTTGAAAAGTCGAATAAATTCTACTAATTTTATAGTTTGTATATGTACATACAAATGACCTATATTTTGCAGTTATATTACATCTGAAATAAAGTATCTAGTCAAGCCAAACAATCAACAAGATCAGTCCAATCAAACTATATTTATAAATACAAAAAACCGTATTCAAATAAAGTAGTCTTGATGGCAATTTTAAAATTCAACACTGCCATTTAATTTAACGGCTGCTGCTTCTACTTTGACTTGTAAAGCTCCCTCGGCTACTAATGCTGCGACTTCTACCACGACGATTAGGACTCTGACTGGAACCACTGCTGGATCGTGAACTGACTTTGCTATCAGACCTTTTAGACCGATATTCCCCAGAGCTAACACTAGAACTTTTGCGAGAAAAACGGGATGACCGATTGGGGGGTGATCTTGACCGTGAGCGAGATCTGGATGAAGACCTTTCACGTCGCTTATTAGCTGAATTGTCACGAATTGATTCCAAAGCTTGTTTATCACGGGAATGATGAAGTTGAGCAGAGTTCTTTTCGACTGTTTTTTTCAAAGCAGATCTGTGGACATCACGAGTATCAACGGCAGGAGAGATTGAAGGACTGCGACTTTTTCTTCTGACTTTTTTTTGATGGCTGTTATTTTTACGATAGGATCCAGTGTCTGAAGATGATAGGGACCTGCTTCGACGTCTGCGATCTTGATCTCCGCCTCGTCTATTGCTTAGATCTCTATCCCGACCCAAATTGCGACCACGACGATCATCTCTGCTTAATGACTCTGCAGCTGCGTCTTGTCGTGCACGCTGTTTGAGAGCATCTTTTTGCTCTTGTTCACGTCGAGCTTGTTTCTCAAAATACTCTGTTTCCTTTCTTTGTCGCTCAATTGCTCGCTCGTTTCTCTTTTGATCCTATCATGTGCATAAAAAGACATTGGATAAGCTATTTAATATACAATCAGACAGAGCTGTCTACAAACAAGCATGTTTAAATGCAGTAATATGCTCAAGTGTTGGTCCTTGTATGCAACATTGATAGTGACAACTATAGAGACCAGTCTAAGCATACTACTGAATTTCCAAAGTCAATGGATTGAATACTCACCAGTCGTTCCTGATCAAATGAACCGCCTTCGACAAAGTCGGATGTATCAATGCCAAAAGCAGATTCAAACCGTTTATTAGCCTTTTCCTTGGCCTCGGCAATACGATGCACTTGATGGCTTTTGATGTTGGTAGCATCCAGTTGGACATTGTTGAGATCAGCAAGCATAGACTTGCGGAGTGTACTCACCTGTGCAAGGATCTCATCCTCACCCAATGTTCCTTGTTCCTCAAGAGATTCTTGAAGTTCCAGACATTTGAGTTCTATTTGACGCTTACGGTCATGCTCAAGGATGCCCTGATTGGGTTTACGATGGGCTAGAGAGTTGCTGTGGTTGAAGGACGAAATATCCTTTTTGAACTCATTGCGAGGTCGCAGTGCAGACATATTGCGTTGAACATAACCGTTGGTACCAGAGCCTCTGGCAGTGGAAAGACCAATTCCGTTATACATTGATTAGATGGGTTTGAAGTGATGTCCAGTCTTGAGGAAAGAATGAACATTGCAATTGAATTCATTTGCATTTTGAGTCGACTTTATTATAACTATATTGATGTAAGAATAAATAAAATGTTGCTAATCTATTGCCTAGTAACTATTCTCCGAAGCTGTCAATCGTTGGAGTAATTGCCGAGTAGGCTCGGTCACCGGATGATTTGTTCCATTATGTCGTTCGGCAACAAGCGATAACAGGCCGGTTACGCTCGACAACTCTGCCGAGGGAATCCTAGAATGAGGTTGTGTCGGGCGTACCAAATCTGCATTCATGTCCTGGCTTGCATTAGACTCAACTGACTGCGGCTGGAGTGTAACTGGGTGGTTGGTTCCACGATGAGCTATCCACGCATTTCCATCTGCGTTTCCATTGTAAGTGTTAAACACGTTGGATGCAACCGTCGAGCTTGTAGTGCTAGTATCGGAATACAATGCGGCTTCTACAATTGCATCAAGTCCTCGTGCAAAACCCCAATCATGACCATTACTGTCAGTATGAATCACTGGCTGGTTAGATTCATAATACACCACGTTGTTGTTCCAGACTGGTTCATTGGCGCTTGGAGAATAAGTAAATGTCTGAGATACTGGTTGTTTTTGAGTTGGTTTTGCATTCATATCTGATACAACTCTTCTTTTTTTTGTTTTCATTGACAGAGGTAAGCCGAGCTGAGAACGATCAGACACATCATCATCTGAAGCTAGATACTGAGCGTCTCCAGGAAATGCAGCTGCAGATAGCGTGGATGGGCTGGATTTAAAGGTTTTAATGGCAGCTGCGCTTTTTCTTCGTGCCTTGATCGTACATTTGGGACAAGTGTAATCGTTCGCTTCCCACTTTTGAACTTGCGCAGAAGTGCACGGTTTCCCCGACTTCGTGGTAATTGCACATGCAATATGTGACCATTTTTTACACGATCCACATTCAATCATAGGAAATCCATCTGTAATCAAACCACCCAAAACGTTTTACTATGTCAACATTGGGTAGTTTTGTAGCACCATACATACAGAATAGATAGACTTACCATCAAGATTTATTCCACTGAGACCGCATCGACAATGAAAAAACCAGGTTTCATTATTAGCTTCTGGCATTTCCACAGGCTCATCATTCAAAAAAGAAACAGCCATTTTTGTGTTCTGTTTAATTGATTCGGTAGTCGGGGTGTTTACAACCAAGTCATCAGTAAATGCTGAAGTGGTGGCAACTGTTCTTGTCCGTTTAGGTGTAGATGAATAGCTGCTTTTGACTGGTTTAGATCTTTGTCGAGTAAGGCTGGACTCGACCACATCTGACTTAGACATTTCAGCATACGTCTTCCGTTTGTTTTTTACAAAAGCAGTAGATGTGCTCGGAATAGATCCATCCAAAGCACTCATCAGGCGTGTCGGAGAAATAGGGTGCGAGTCATTAGCACCACCAAATGAAGTGGAATGCTGAAAATCATCTACAGATTGCTGTTCAACTTTTGGTAGGACGTACAATGGTAAAGATTCGTATTTGATATTTCGTCGAGCTCGTTCTAAAATTCGACTCTCTCGCTTTTTTTCCAACTCTAATCGTTTCAACTCCTTGGCTTTGTGTTGCTGTTTAAAATGCAAATGTGCAAAGAATGTGCAATTGAAAATCAAAATGTAAGCCACATCAGCAACATAAATAAGAATTTGGCAATCTCAAGTGCAACAATTGACAACTCAACTGCTTCTTTGCGTCTAGACTCCTCTTCTAATCGTTTAACTAAATTTAAACTACTGTTTCCTGTATTCTCGGTCGCTCTAGTTTGACGCCTACTCCTAGAAGAAACGCCATTATACATTGACTCTGAGTCGGTCAGCTCACGAATCTGTAGCCGAGTAGATCTTTTACGATTTTGAAGTGCCTCGGACAAGTTGCGTACTGTATTCCATTTCTACAAAAAATGTATGTCGCATGACAACACATTAAATTCAAACAACACCAACTAAATATTGCCCTGACTGGAAATGTGGTACATAACAATGATTTACCTTGATCTGTGAAATGGCATGTGGTTTAGCTTCTAGGGTTAGATATTTATAAAGCGCGCGCTCATCGGGATGCGTAGATGCTTGAAACCTCTCTGGCCATGTCTCCCAGTCTTTTATCGTTCTACAAACCTATGTACAGACATTCAAAAAACACTCAACAGTTAGTATTATGATATTTTAAGAATCAAAACGCGCTGTATGAGCAAGCTCTTACCATTGTCCACTTTTTACTGGGTGTTCCTGATAAATCATCATCCGAATCGGATTCAATCGTCATTTTCCGTCTTGAGTGAGCCAATAAGCCGTTCCTTTTTGAAGTGTCCATATACACTCTGTTATCTATTGTATTAAAATGATCATCCCAATGATAAAAACATAAGCTACTGAAAACCATTGGTATAAATCAATACCAAAAACAGTTGAACCCAAAGCTACCAACCGTCAAATAAAAAATATGTATTGTTCTGAGCATCAAATCCGATTGGCTCCACTCTCTATTCAAAGCATATCACTATGATTAGTACTAGCGTTTTACAACAAAAAGGATAAAAATTAATATATGAATTGAAATAGTGACAGATATTACCCATAGGAGCTGGTCATTCTCTTCAGTATTCTTTAATGGTTTAAATCGATCCAAATCTACGAATTGCCAATCACATAATCTTTGGAGAATTAGCACCTATGACTCAAATACGTGGTTTAGATGAGTTAGAGTGTTGCCATCAACATGCAGGTTGATCATATGATGATATAAAGCAGGTTTCTACCTTGGTACAAAGTGGAATGTTGTCATACTCTATTCCGTCAATAAATCCTGCAATCATATTATCCTCGTCTTCCATGCGCTTTTTTAGCTGTGTTGAAAATACCCCAAGCCAGTTACTATGACTACATGCAATGGCAATCAGTGTATATGATGAGTAAAACGGCGCGTTCAAGTAATCTAGTATTCAGTTGAAAACCTTGTGACATTTAAATGCTAAACATGTCTTGATCATGTATGTGTATATTTAAAAGCTTACTCTATATTTCGTACACAAGTGGAACGTTGTAATAATAAAATATGGATATCGATAATGTACTTTGTTGCTGGAATTTGTGGCAAGTTGTCTTCAAGTTGCTAATAGTTTATACAAGTCAAAGCATAGTATGAAACTTTAGTTGAAGTCGTGGGCTCAGTTGATTCAGCAAAAAATCAGTACCTACCTCGGTGTAAAAATCGTCCATTCCAAAGTCATTGTAGTACAGATGGAAGAACTGGCACACTGCAACGAATTCCCAAGTGGATTGAAGTTGTTGAATAGCTAATAAAAATGATTAATTTAATTCGAGTTTCCAGTTAATGTCAATGGATAAAAGCCAAGCCAATGTGCATACATGTCACAATATAAAATGTTCAATGGGAATTAGTTAGGCAACTCGGTACAATGACTTGAAGTTTATAAAAGTTTAAATTGTACAAGCCATTCAGAGAAGACTGAAAGTTGGATATATATTAGGGTTGATGGCTCAATCAAGCATTACAATCTATAACCAGTATAAACATAACAGACTGGTAAATCTATAAAAGAACTTTACAGTCAAGTATATTTATCCAAATGGTTCAAAGAATAGGCGTTATCCAGTCACTATAGTTTAATAGCACTGAATGGCAATACAATCTTGAGTTCAAAACAAGATACCTTCAGAAACACCGCTGTAAACATAACCTTCGTAAGCAGGAGCACAAATGTAGTTTTGTGCAAGACTACTTTTAGTATCTTTATAGACAGAGATATCAGATTCAGATGCAGGGTCGGCCTCTGCATCAATCAGCAACTTGGATGCACGCTTCGCTGCCAGTCGCATCTGATTTTTGTTTTGATATCAAATCGATGAATTGGGGTGTGGCCGCCATTTGAACTTTTTTAATTGCAAGATGGAGTCTAGACCTTATATTATACTGGCTGTTTCATCAAACACTTGGTTTTTGGTGTCTAGACTGTAATCGTTTTTATTCGACTTTTCTCGAATGTTTCTAAACCATGGACAATACAGGCAGCATTGATGATGATGCTGGACAGACAACTGTGCTATTTAAAAAGGGAAGCAGATCTGCATCAAGCAAAAACAGTCTTCGATCCAAACGCTCTCGTATTTCCACAGACGATGCTTTAGAACCATCTAATCATGACGACGATCCACAACCCACTTCTACACCAGCTGTAGTATCTTCTTCACAGTTGCTCAAACGAAAGAAAGAAAAACTGGCATCTTCATCTTTTTTTTCGACTGTCTCTACTGCAACTTCAGCAAGATCCTGGGATACTTCCAGCATAAAGCCAGATCCAACATCATCAGCACTACAGCAGCGAAAAGAAACTCTTGCTCTTGAACTAGCATTCAAGTCATCTGGAACTGCTGCATCACTTTCAAAAGACACTGCCACTCGAGTATTGGATGTGGACGGCGGATCAGAATCAAACAGGCCAGATGAAAGTCCTGCAGCTCCATTAATATATGCTGGCGATGAAGCTGAACTCACTTCTCAGATCTACAAGGGTCAGTCTGCATATACTGAATATGTAAACAAGAAAACTGAGCGGGTCACCCAATCCAATGCAGGCGGTATTCGAGCAGGTCCATTGCGCGGCCAAACTAATGTACGCATCAGCTCCAGATTTGATTATCAGCCTGATATATGCAAAGACTATAAAGACACAGGGTACTGTGGATATGGGGATTCGTGCAAGTTTATGCATGATCGCGGAGACTACAAGGCTGGATGGCAGATTGATCGTGAATGGGATGAGCAACAGAAGAACAAATTGGCAAATTTGGATCCAAATCGATTTCTTATCACTAGTGACGATGAAGGAGATGATGATACCAGTAAAAACCCAAAGGATGAAGATGAAGACTTGAGTCATCTTCCATTTGCTTGTTTGATCTGTCGCGGGCCATTCAAATCCCCAGTAGTAACAAAATGCTCACATTATTTTTGCGAAGCGTGTGCATTGAAGCACTATGTAAAAACCGCCAAATGCTTTGCTTGCAATGCTGCTACCGGAGGTGTGTTTAATGTTGCCAAAGATCTACTGGAAAAACTCAAAACTCATCAAGAAAAAGTGGCTGCTCGTGAAGCCAAGATCAGAGAATCAAACAAGGAACTGGAAAACGATGCGCTCGATGATGGCGAGCAGAGTGATGGTTAATGCAAAGTTTAAAACTAATAATGTACAATGATTTAAACCAGTTTAGCAACCGCACTATTGCAATCTGACACTTGTCTAAATTTTTACAGGCTATACTTGCCCTACCAACACTGGTTTAGTTTGATGATGCAGTTCAATTGGATAGAATATCTGAGTTTGGCTTGTGTTTTCAGACAATCAAGATATATAGAGTTGCAAATCTAATAGATCAATACGCTTTGGTAAAATTACCGATAACAAATATATTACACATCTAATGAAGTAACTACTGGTACAATTGGTTCGATTACCGGTTGTCCATCCAATGACTGAGTAATATGCCGAGTCCCATGGCAGCAAGAATGAGCTGATCCTCTCTTCAAGAGTTGTTTTTGCTGCCATTCTGCATTTTCTTTCCACATACTGCCGTCTGTATATATCTCCATTTTCCAAATAGGAACAGTTGCTTTGACTTCATCCATAATCCAAGCAACCGCCTCAATTGCATCTCGTCTATGAGGAGATGAAGCAATCACTACTATACTAGCCTGTCCAACAGGAACCTGACCAATTCTATGCACAATTGCAATATGCATAATGGACGTGTACATGGCTCTAGTCTTGGCTGCAATACTCTGCATTTGCTTGACTGCCATGGGTATGTATGCCTCGTATGAAAGCATCTGAACTTGTCTTGTCACACCCGTTGCTATGTAGAAACAAAGAGTCAGACAGTCAAGTAGATACCCTCACTATAATGCAAATGGAGTTTATTATAATGGATCTTTGAAGTAATCCAATTAGCACTTACCATCAGTAAAAGTATTTCTAGTGGTTCCCAGAAACGATGACAAAGCGCCTGCACCATCATCTCGCATCCTTTGCATAAGAGCGCAATGATCAATGCAATCCAAAACTATCTCGATAATATCGTCTGATGCTGCCATCTCTGTAACTATTTGAGCAGAAAAGCAAATTACAGCATTTTTACCAGGTTGAATGTTGGCCGTCTTTGGCCAAAATATTCACAGCTGGCCAAAGCAATCGTGACATTTTCAGGTTGACAATTTTTTTTAAAACTCAAAATTAAATTCAGACATTGAATATACTGTCATGGTTGCAGTCCAACATCATATTTCTGAAGTAGCAATCTCTACATCGTTAAAAGATTCAAGCATTCACATCTGGGATATACGTAATGGAGCGCTTTTGTCGACTTTGAAGGGAAATACTAGCATGCCGCTTGCAACAGACATTATGTTTGCCATTGGAAACCATTACACTGCCGCCACAACTGCTACTTCATCAAATTCTGGTATGGTCGATGCCTCTGAAGGCTATAACGGACATATTAACGGACCCGGAAATCGGCCCACTATTCCCTCTGCTAATCTCAACGGGTGGATGCTGCCATCGCTGATTATATCTGCCCAATCAGATCGAGCAACTCTCAACACTTGGTCGCTGGGGAAAGCCCAACCCATCTTAAAATCTGTCATTCCAGAAAAATTGGCCTGTGTATGTATCTCTAATTCTGGACGATACTGTCTTGGAGGTGGATTTTCTGGGCGATTGTACTTGTGGGAGGTGAGGTTGAGTTGATTACACTTGCAGAGTATATTAAATTCTCGCTCTGTTGACACCTTTAAATGATTTATTCTTTGGCGTTGATTAATAGATTGCTACTGGAAACATGCTGCGCATGTTTGATGCCCATTACAAACCTGTAACAGTTGTACGATTCACCGCTGATGATGCACTGATGATCTCTGGTGGTGAAGATGCCATGATTCACCTGTGGTTGCTAGCAGAGTAAGTCGTCTTGGTTAGCATGTGTTAGTTTGGCATGGATCTAAACTATATATAGTGTTTTAGATGAGTCTATAGATCACCAAGAACTCCCTGTAAAATTGAAAAGTCTAAAAGGCCACACTTTACCCATCGCAGATTTAGTGTGTGGACTGACACCATCTACTCAGACTAGATGCTTTACAGCATCGCTTGACAAGACTTGTAGAGTAAGACATTAAAATCCATTTCTAATGTACATGGTGCAAATGTTTGGATTAACGAGTTTTTCAACTTGTGATTTTTTTGTAGATTTGGGATCTAAATACTGGATGCTGTCTTGTTACTATACTATTCCCTCGACCACTTACCTGTATTCAAGTGAATTCACTCGAAACAACCATATATGCTGCTAGCATTGACGGACTTGTTCGTTCAGTCAATCTTTACACCACATCGACAGGTGCGTTGCATGCTTTGTCCGAGGGCGATATTCGCGATGCAGATACAGAGCCATGCGTGTTCAGAGGACATCGGTATGATTGATTTTTTATTTCATTGATCACATTTGCCAGATATTCCTATTTATATATTCATCATCACTGCTGTGAATGTTTATAACATAGGGCTGCAGTGACTTCTCTTTCTTTGTCAATGGATGAAACTCTTTTAGTGACTGGATCTAATGACGGTGATTGTGTTGTATGGGATACCGTTACAAGACAGGCTTTGCGAACATTCAAGGCACATAAAGGTGATTTAGTATGGTATCTAACTAATATATCGGTTAATACCAGACCATAAAGTGCTGACACGAGTCCAATTATTTATATGCACAGAACCAGTATCCAATGTCAAGATTGTTTTTAGACCACCTAGTGTAACCAACCCAGATGCTCATTGCCATACGTTGGTTCAAGCATTCAAAAGATTTCCTATTGTACGAAAATCTATTGAAAAAGATGCACTAGGCAGCGAAAATGATGGTCAATCTTTTGTCTCGAGAATTCCAACTCGAGGACTAAGTGCATTGAACGATGAACTTGATCAAGAGTTATATCCCGGTAAGCCATATAAACTGTCTTTTTGACTGAATTCTTATTTGCTGAACATTGACTTGAGCTATCAAGAAAATTAACTGGCTTGTTTGACATAAACTCCAACAGATGCAAAAAGGATTTACAAAGGAGTATGTAATGCTTATGGAGCGCCTTTGCTTGGAAAAACGAACGAAGATAGTTTGAGCGAGGTAGATATCCTCAAGTCTCGTGTAGCTGTACTTGAAAAGCATAATACCGAGCTTCAGTGTTTGAATGATCGGCTGTATCAAGGTGTTGTCGACCATATTTTTGATACAAAATAAGGAATAAATAAAAGCGTATCATCAGTTATATGATTGACCATTCACACCAATTCCACGATGTTTTAATATACACACACTATTGCAAGAATCAATTATAGACTAGTGTAAAATGATCAAAAACAAAGCTTTATTTATGATTGATGCTGATGATGAATGGCATACTGAATAAGATCTGCAATTTCAATAGATAAATGCGTAAATAAGTAGCAATCAAAAGTCAAGGAGCACATTAGACTGGAAAGACTTGCTGACAGCGAATATAAATAAGTCAATTCGACATCAGAGAAAGCGATTGGTGCTGATCACGTTGGGTGCAAAATTGGAGCTAGTCTGTAACTGGGACATAATTTTAGCAGAGTTTGAAGACCTGTCCTGCTTGCTAGAAGTAGCAATGGTGTTGGTAACTGCTACGTTGGTGAAATGAGACGATTCAGCTCCACGTGAAAAAATCGAAGACGTTGGATCGGCAGCAAACTGAGTGTAGAGAACAAACTGGTTGGCGTTGTTGGCAATCATTATATATCTGGAATATAGTGTTAGATCAAAGGAGTGAAGATATAAATCTTGTAATGAGTTGTATAGAATGGATGAAATACGATCGCTATTTATAGACAAACGAGTGATGGTTTTTGTTTATAAACATGTATCCTGATTGGTTGTTAGCTGGAATCGTCTAGAAAATAAATCCAGTCCATCAAGCAACGTGGCCATATTTACTTGTTAATAGTCGAGCCACTCTAATATGGGTTGTGTTTATTAGACTTGGCAAGAGTTGTCTAATGACAATTGTGACCCATTTACAGCCGCATTCGCGCAAAAGTGAAATATTTTTGTATTCATTTTGCAGAGACTAACATTGTTTTTCACAGGATAATCAAATATTCATATTACTAATTAGAGCAACATTTACTATTGGCTGTGAATAGAAACTCAAGCATTTACGTCATCAACATATTAATACTCGGCTATGCATGCATGGATCTCTATAGACCATATACCCCTTTTTGGCTCTAGCTACCTAAACCATTACAAACTGAATGCATATTTCAAAAAGAAAAATCAACACAATCAATGATTATTTTATTTTCTAGTGCTTTAAAAAAACATCAGTGACTTGATCCTCTGGAATCATCGTCGATTGGATGGTACAAGAGGTTTCAACGACAATCTTTCGTGGTTCCTCGATGTGGGAGCATTATAGCCTTGATATCGAGAATTCAAAGGTATGCCCACACCAGGCGAAATCTCGCCTATATCCTGATCCGTTCCAGAAAAAGAGCTTGTAGTACTGGTTCTAGCTACCCCAGCATTGAATTCATGTGCATTGTCATCTCTGGAAACGTATGATACGGACGAGTTTCGGCTTTCTCCGTGTCTACGACTAGATTTAAGAATCTCAGGATGGGTACGATTTGCAGACTTTTGCTGGAGTTTATCAAGAGGTTTGGAACGAGGTTTGGGTTTGGCAAGCTCTTTCTGATTGTACATTAGGGTTTTTGTTGCATGCATTATGAGTGGAATCGTCACAGTAATCACAATAGACATCAGAAGAAAGATAAACCAAATAGAATCCAAATCGGCACTATTATAAACCATGTTCAATAATAATCAAACGTATATTGATACATTTAGTGCCAATCAAGTGTTGAAAGCAGTGCAATCAGAAATACCAATACATCAATATCGCGATATTACTTACAGACCAACTCCGCATACTTGGTCTTGAAGAGTGTATGCTTGCTGAGCCATGCTAAAGCAACTTAATTGGTCTGACAATCGCAAGTATGAATTGGAAATCGATGTACTCATGGTATCTGCCATGAGAATTGAGACCTAGAAACACAAGTAGACTATTTAAAACACTGACATTCAAAAACATTACTGTGGAATTTGAAATGATCAAAATACTTGCGTTTGAAGATAATCCTATGCTATAGCTTCTTACTATTGCTGTCAGTTCAGTATAATATGAGATTGCGGTTGTTGTCGAGTTCTGTTCATAAAAGTCAGTTTACATGTCAGCCCAAAACTTTTTTCAATATTTACTCGGACAAGGCAATGGTCTAGATATTAATAAACTATACCTGGTACTGAGTAGTTGTGGAGCTTAAATTAGATACATCGGATACTAGCGAGGTAGTGTTTGCTGAAAACCAATCCAGTGTACTGCCACCAAGATTATCAATGCCTGAAATGATAGTGGTACATCTGGAACGAAAATCAATCAATGAATTGTTTTTATCTGCGTTGGTAGCACCTCCAGTGTATTGTAAATCGGACACCGTGTAGCTGGATTGCATATTGCTCACGATCGATCGCAGTGTAGATAGCGCGTTTTTGAGTGCCGGAATTGACATTGCTGTTAGCATGGTCAGATTGGACGTGTTCAAAGTGCTAATGTTGAATGCAGTGACATTGGTAAAAAACTGTGCAGGTGGTGTGGATATTGGGAGATATGTTCTAGATTGTAAAAGTACGATGGTTTAGTGACTGCTACATTGTAAATTCCATGACTACAATTACCCATTATTGGATCATGAAATAACCTTACTCGACATTAAGCTGAGGAGGTGCTTGAACAGACGGAATCGTCATCATCATCTGGCTTGTAATATTGGCTTGATTTGCATCGATGGCACCAAGTTCAACACCAGCAGATAGCAGCGTTTTATTACTCATACACACATTACGAACAATCAAAAGATTATTTATAGTGCTGGTAGCGATTGGGTAGTCTAAATATTTTTGAATAACGGGCGGCGACTCGTCAAATGTCATTCGACAACCTTGAACCATTTAGCCAATAAAGTTGAACATTGTAAGATGGTTTTCAGATAAACGGTTGATTCAAATCACTGTCATTGCAGTTACTTGCCTTCTGCCAACAATGCTGTTGAAACAAAGTACGCAATCGTGACAAAGACTACCAATGAAAACACAAACGAAGCTGCAATGATCTGGGCTCGAATACACACTGCATTTCCCAAAAATATTTCTATCCACCACATGAAGAAAAATAAAAGCACAAGTGCCGTGAGTGAAAGTTGGGCTAATTGTCTATATACGTTGATGGTGCTTATTGATGGCATGATGGTTTGGAGTTTTAATGTAAAGGAATCAAGACTCATCGATATGGCTACTGTGTATATATCAATTGGAGATATTGTCGAGAATTTTCTGGATACAACTGCACTTGCTATTAAGCGCACTAGAGCTAAATAATATTATTAATCAAGTGTCAATATTGATGTCGGTCCTGGCTAGTTTTTTGTAGACTTGAGCTTACCTTCAAGTGAGGTGGAAATTACAGTAGAGAGACTATCAGTTGTATTGTTTGCAATGGCCTGTCCATCACTCAGCATAACAGTTAGATTTTCTGGAAACTGGCTATACAGCTCGTTTAAACTAGGAAAAGAGCCAAAGTATGCATTTAGTATTGTCATGTTTGTGGAAATATCTGTTGGATTGAGCTTTTGTGAAGCTTGAATGGCATAATACTGATTGTTGGATCCAGGTATTGCAATATATGCGCTATTGATTGCCTGAATCGCCAACATCAGTGCATCGTAATCTAGCAAGCGACCGCGTCAAGCCAATTAAAAACCATGATATTAGCCAAAAGCAACGATACTGTATTTGTCTAGTCTTTACTTACAGGCTTGAACAGAAGTAAGTCCAGTTATGGCAGATGTTTGATCTGTTCCCCCTTGAACCAGCGACGAGTTTAAAGCTACACGATATCTCTCAGAGTCGGACAATGAAGTAAAGTATCCTTGGATACTTGCATTGGACACCGTAGCAAGGCGTGTGACATCTTGAGCAGTAACAGGGCTATACTGAGTCACATTCTTTACTGTCAAAATGAGATCGATAAATCCTGCATCAATATCAGAAGGAATTGTATTGGCGATTTTCGATAGGCTTTGAACGAGCTGAATTGAAGTTGATTGAAAAGCCGATCCTGTTATTGTAATGAATCTACTTGCTTGATAGTTTCCAAGCACTAGAATGCTGTATTTTATGGATTATATGCAATACTTGAATATTTGACACTATTTTGATGCAATTCTAACAGTATTGAATGCAGTCATTTCAGTTTAAATATCATTCTTACATCAATATGAGGGTGAGGAGCGAAATGCCCAGCTTGATAATGAATTTTGATGAAGCTGAAGGCAGACCACGCGTTTCTGATCTGAATATCCGACGAACACAACATGCATACACTGACCAGTTGTATATGGCAGCCGCAATAAGATACAATGCCATACAAAATAGAATAGCAACAAGAAATCCATAGCCCTAAATAATTTGATTCGCAACAGTATTAGTTACTATTTAGGATTGTAGACTTGTATTTCGTTCAACACGTGGGTTCTAGTTGGATGGCCATGGCAAGTTTAAATATTGAACTTGCCGGAAAATACGAAGCCAAATCAGATATATTAATGGTTGATGTAGATATTGGAATATTTGTGTAGGAGTCGGGTTGAATTCTTAAAGTCGTTCTAAAGACACGAGCCACATTCGACAGCAAGGACAGACCACTGGGAGAGTCGCTGTACAGAAATACATCATTTTTTGTGGCTGGAATATAACGCCGATAAAGTTCTTGCATGAAAACTGATACTGGTATATGGTTTTGTTCAAACTAAAGCGTGGTGGATTTAGTAAAAGTTTGAAGGTATGATTTGCTTGTGAAGCATATTTGAATGGTCTTGCAGCCATATTCACGTAAAATGCAACGTTTATTCATCTTGCAATCACTGCCTCTATTTTGCTTTGGAATAAATAATGGTTGAATATTCCTTGTGCTTTTCTATTACAAACTAACTTTAATCGGCATTTTCAACCTTTTCTCAACATCTGGAATTGCACGCCACAACCATTTTAAATTATCAGCATAATTTCGGAATCGAAATATGAAGATCTACACGCAATATTGCTATTTGTTGAACGACTGGCAGATTATGTCTAATCGCTGGATTTGATGAGTTATCATTCCATGAGATTGACTGTCTATTATGTATTCTAGTTTCCTTATTCAATGCTCCATTTACGTGGATACGACTGTATACATAACAATACAGAGTCGCCAAAATAAAAATAACGTCAAGAATATCAGATATTTAAAATTCATTAATACTAATGCACAGCCAAACTAACGGTAATAATTATTGGAATGCTCTACTCAAAAGGTAAACGTTCCACTGGAATAGAATGTTCTTTTGAATTATTTTTGTTTGCCACTACAAGAGATATAACAGTTAGATCTGCAAACTGATAATAGCAAGCATGCTTGAATTAAGAAAGTGCAAAGCCCAATACTTACAATGACAAGCCAAACCTTTTCCAAAGTTAAGAATACATTTGATGGCAATAATAAATGTTGCAATTACCATGGCCAAACTCAGTACAGCTAAAGTTGAATTCGTTGATGAAAATCAGTCTAGATCTTTGCAATGATTGAACGTAGCCCTAAATCTCAAATTAAATAAAACACAGCTTAGCTTACCAAAAAATGTTAAATAATATTTTGTGTCCGCGTATTGTGCTTGACGAGTATGGATACGAACAAGTTTGAAAATAAAATAAGCAACAGCCAGAATCAATCCAAATAGAAAGCAAAAGACAATTATTTTATCTTCTTTACGGACCTAGACAAGCATTGGCAATACACCACAAAGATTAGCAGTGCTACACAGCCTGAAAAGTATATACTATTTTAAATGAAAGTAAAATCATGTACGTACTCCATAGACAGCAACAGCCAGTATCAAAAGCATGATAGGAATAGCAGCAATGGTGATACCGAATTCAGGATCGGATGTTTTAATAACCAAAACAAGAAACTGAATGCCGAAACCAACAACAAAAAATACATCTATTTTGACGAGAAGCACAAAGATTTGGTAGGTGCGGTACATATCTGATTGAGTGATGGTTCCAAAAGAATAGCAAGATTTAGTCAGAGTAATTGCATGATATATAATCAATACTAACGCAATTTCCTGATATGATCTAAATTCATAAAGGCTTTGGGATGTCCTTACCTCGCATGTATGGATCTGCACCGATCCGCTTAAATATAGTCCATCCAAACTCATGATATAGCTTGGAGGCCAAAAAAACAAAAAGACATTGAAATATAGCGACAATTACAAGAATTACAATAAGAGGCACAGTCAGGCCAATGTCAGAGTTTGCAATTTTGATCAGCTGTGCGTACTGGAAAATGGAGTAGCATAAGATGGCAAGATTGAACGCAACAAAAGAGCCAATTTGCATTGTATTCTGCTTAATCAGAGCGTCCCAGCACAAGACAATTTGAAAGATCTGAGCCATGAGAAAGATAACGAGATAAACTGGGATGCCGCGTGCAGGTCCGGGCTCATTCGTGTCAATCGATGCAGTAAATTGATTATATACAACGGATTCCATGACAATTACAAGGACTGCTTGTGCCATGACTGCAAACAGGGTTAAGCGAGTGTACTATTTGAATAAAATTCAGTATAAAATTCAACCTGAAGATTAAAAACTAATTTCAATGGCATATATAGTGGCAAATAAACTGAATTCAGCCATCAATCAAGATTGAGAATTGTTATAGACTCTGGATAAATTCAAGCATTATTGTACGTACTGGAGTAGATGGAAGCTAAAAGGGCGATTAACAACGAGGGCCCAGTAATGAATATATACCAATGTTAAATGCATGGTAATTTGACAAAATTACATCATAAAACCATAAAGCATACCCATTTTAACGGACCAAGGTCGCTGTCAGCTATCGAGACGTTGTTGCTACGACTTGCCTGCCTGCCCTGGTTGAGCTCATTGGGATCCGTTGACAACACAATCAAGTTGGAAGAGAAGTTGTGACCAGTAGCAGCAGGACCTAAGCGAGAGATACTTCCGGTACCCGTAAGATTTTCTGCTGCAATATAAGGAGTTGTAACAATAGATGAAGGTGTTTGATCCTACAGTGATGTGCAGTAGAGGTGGTTAGACTGGCAAGTCAATAGATTAATCGGCCTTGGAATAAACATGAAACATTTGATGATAATTCATGGCTAAAGAATTAAAATTCAGTTGCAGAGCATTGAAAGAGGTGAAGTGCACTAGAGCAGTAACCATGACATTACCATGTTTAAGCAGTAGTGCAACAGCAAGTTTGTTGAGCAAAATTCATTTGAATGCATTGCACGTGATCAGTCACGTGTACTACATTCAAATGAATTTGTCCGAACAGTTCGCACTTTAGACAGGTCATCACTAATACTGCAATGCTGGGCAATCACCTCTCCAACTCTGCTTCTGAACCAGCTGTTCATAGTGAATCTTTATTGAAACAGGCAAGTATATGCGCTTCAACTGTTTGTCAACGCTGATCTTGTATAGTTCAAGTAATGATCAATGGTCGCATGTTTATTAATAGGTCAAGGATCAGATTGCTAGACATAACTCTTTATCACATAACCCACATTTACATCAAGACATCATTGCTCTGCAATCGCTAATCACTACTTTGCTATTTTCCTGTTTCATTATTCCTGCCAATGGTAATCCTTTTATCTGTATAAATCTTGCTATAAACTTTTCAATCCATGTTGGATGGCAGATTGTCTTTAAACTCTTGATGGTATTGCTTTGATCAATTAATACCACTTGTAATATACATTTTTGAATACGATTCTTACTACAATTATATAGCCAAACGATCTCCAACTGCTGAGGCTAGCGAATCTCTTGAACTTGTTCGGATGGCTTTGGCTCACTTGCCAGTTGCTTTTTTTGCTTCTCAAGAAACTGATCGTGTCTGTCCTGCCAGCCGTAATTTTGGAGCGAATATACCTAGTGGAATGAATAGAAACAACACTCAGGCCACTACTCAGCCATCTGCTATGTCCATGTTGTTGGTAGATACTCAAGTTCCTGACAATGCACCAAAACCAATGGCGCATTTTGATGTGTGGATGTTGCATACTTTGATCTGGTGTTTGGCCATTCCCAATATGCCCCAACAGATTGTATTAGAAATTCAAGACACCATTAGCGACATTTCTGATTTTGTGCTCGATAAAAATCCTGACGTTACTGTTTTTCAACAAAGTTTTAACTCCTTGATTGATCTCGCTATTATGATTGAGCCAAAGCTTCATTCCTCTTCTGATACACTGTCCAATGCATCCACTCCATTCAAGTCACCGGAAAAACTTGCTGCGTGTCTTTTACTACAGCCATATAATGCATCTCGATTTTCGTGGGTTACTTTTTCCAATACAGCTCAACCAGATGCATGCATTGTGTTTGCACATATGCACCAACTCACAACATTCTCTGCCCATATTCTCAATACAATCGAGTGGATGGTGAGAAAAGGATCACATAGCATCTTTTTATATCAAAACAGAACGTTTCTGTTGATATCAAAGTTTCTTTGTTGGAGTTCGTCTTTTACTGAGCACTCGTTGCAAATGGTATGCCATAATTTCTCGTTCATCCTGTGAATTATTCATATTAGCTATTTGATAAACAGTATCTTATTTTGTTTACTCTTTGTGATACAGACCTTATTTCCACTATTAAAACTAGTGCTTACAAATGACTGTCCTATTCTTCCAAATGAGTCCATTGAATGGGCATATTTTCTTGTCATTGGAATCACCGAAACTCCCGAATTAAAACTTTTGGGTGAAAACGCAGACCAGTCCGTGCTGGATCGATCTCTCGAGTTTCAAAACATACTTGGTGACTGTCTTATGGTCTACGTCAAAGCTGGTGTTTATTGGATGGCGGTATCAGACTATATCGACAAACTTATCAAGCCATGCTTATTTTTGTCCTTTCGTAGCGTAACATTCCAGCAGACTCTCTGTGAAATACGTAAAGAAATTTACACTGAAAAATCACAAAGATTAAAAGTTAATACTAGCTTTAATGGACTATCTGATAACCTTAAAGCACGACTTTTTTTAAATACCTCTGAATCTACAGCATTTCACAACTCATCGTTGGTACGTACACTCGTTGTCAAGTCTTTTGTATGCTGTGTTTTGCCTAATCTTACACTCATAAAACTTGATTACAAACATTTGTACAGGTTCGCGTAGGATGGAAGCGGCGGCGTATACATAACCACGAAACTACTAAAGTTAAAGAACCCCCACTAACCCATCCGCTTTTGACTCAATGTATCTCTGCATCTCCAAATTCAACGGCCGTTCAACTCTGGGATGACTTTGAAAAACAATTGCTTTCAGATACAGCCAATGTTTCAATGATATCTTTAAAGCACATGATTAGCATCATGCAATTTGACTTGGGATCGCTTTTTCAAAGTAAACTTTCCGAGTTTGTTTGCAAGGCTTACTCGAAATGCCTTGAACTGATTTTTCAAAACAGCAGCTCTTTGACTTGCCAATTCTATTATACGCTTTCTATTGTCGTATCTTGCTTGCCGATTCAAAGTATTGCATTGAGTGACGAATGGGTTGTTTTGCAGCTTCCGTTGCTTCCTGCATTGGTCACAGTGCCATTTATGTCTAATGCAGCACAACTGTTGGTGGAAATGGTTGAAACAGACCACTCAGACTGGCAGAAATTCGTTTTGTCACTAAAGCACGTTTCTCAGTCAGATATACTTTCTGATGTTGAACTATACTCAATACAGACTGATTGTATTCAGGCTTTGGGAAACATTGGTAGATTTAATTATTGGAATGCACCAGCCATTACGATTCTTACAAAAATACTCGAGTCTTCATTGCTTAATACCACGTGGCAGATTACGTTTTCGGCTCTTGCCTCGCTTAATCTTAGCCTTTCTGATAAATCAAATGTACTACAAAACATTCATAAAGCTATTGACGAATTCAAACCCCCTTTAGTGGCATTGAGGGCGTTTGGATCTCTTGGTTGTCTTTTTTCAGGAACCCTTGAATGCAACAAAACGGTTTCAATATGCAGTCAATGCAGCCTTTATTCTGCAAACATTTTTTCAAAACTGGACTGCTCTTTCCCAATGCCTTTTGATCTACTGGCTCAATGGATCAACATATGGTGCAAGTTCGCATCCACGTCTACCATTCGCGATTCAACAGAATCTATCCTTGCTTTATGTGATGCGCTTGGGCACTTTATGGTGCACTCAACTTGCGATAACCATTCTGTGCTAAACTCACCGTGTCGTGAATTTTTGCTTACTTTTTTATCGCACTCTGCTAAAGACGTTCGTCTCCGAGCTAGCCGAGTTATTTTGTATTTTGCTCAAACACCAGACAAGACTATTTGTATTCAAAACATAACTGTTCTTTCCGAACAGGTTTTGAGATTAGCAAGAACACATACATCTCCGACATTTGGGGACTCATTTATCACACTATGCGGATACATTTCTAAAAGCAAGTATGCTTTTGAATCTGAATGCCAAGTCACCCTCCTCACTCTTCTAGTAGAATACCTTGGAAACCCAAATTTGTTTTTGCGATCCAAAGCTTATGTAGAGATTTGTGATGTAGCCAAAAGTCACCAATTGACTTTGACAGAACTGTTGCAAGAGAATTTGGAAGGATGGAGTCAGTTTGCTGTGGCTAATTTAAAAACCAACCCCATCATTTCAAAACTCTTGGCTCAGTTAAATGGTGTTACACTTGGCCAGTTCTTATCTGCGACTTTATCCTACACATTGCCTCCTCTCATCTTAAACGAGGACTTGCCGCTGATCCAAACTATTGCATCAATCATCAAACGCAAGCATCAGGCTATTATTATCGAGTCGTGTGGTGATATTATTGCATATCTGTTGATGCACTATCAACCGGGAGATAAGAATATACTTGAGCGATTCAATGCCATGTCTACAAACCAAATCACCTCGATTCATCAGCTTTTGTTTTCGTGTCGTCTAACATTGATTACAAATCTCACCATGGAGTTGGGAAATACTGACGAATCGCTTCGTATACAGGTAATATTGTTAAAACCAAATCATGCACTGATTTCAGTATGACTTTGCCATTGGCTTATTCTGTCTCGCTTATACTTTGCTTTGAATGTGTACTTTAAATTAATTAGGCGCTGTGGTCACTAAAATATGTCGAGTCTGTCCTGTATCCAGATTTAAACACTGGTGCTACATCAGAGCCTACATCTGGATTCATGACGACATTTATTTTGGCTATTATATTGAAAATCAACGAAATCATTATTTCTGAAAAACGTCGACCACTTTCTTATAAAACCAAAAGTTTGGCAAGTTTGTGCGAGCTAATTCGACTGTGCGGACCTGCCATTTCTTCTTTTGTACCTCAGGTTGTCGGTGTGCTGCAATCTGCACTTGAGAGTACTATTTTATACACAGAAACATTGCATTGCTGGAATATGCTTTTTCGCCAGCTAAATTCACAAGAACTAGCTAGTATTTTTGGTCAAGCCGCAGTGATTTTATTGCAAATCGAATCTGCCTGTAGTACACCACAGCGTGAACTTATGGTCAATTTATTTACATTTGCGCTTATCGATTCATCGCATGGAGCAAGTCTTATTGGAAATCTTATTGGAACAATCCCGAAACGACAGGAATGGACTCGTGTGTATAATCTTGTTCAAGAACACAGAAGTCAGACAGATATCTGGACACAAATGTGGCTTGCAGCGTCGAGTCTTTCCAATGAAAACGCCATTGTTGTTCAGCATGCACTTGAAAGACTATTGAGTCTACTTTCTGAACACAGCCTATCGATTAATGCATCAATTTTGGATGAACGTACCAATCCTCTGCTTCCTCAGATCATTCAACAATTGTTTGAGACCTGTCGTATCTACAACTCATCTACCCCAAATATTTCCAGTTTGTGCTGCGAATGCTTGGGAGTTATTGGAGCACCTGATCCCACTACCATTAACGTAGTGCTTGAGGCTGATGGTCATTTTGGACCCAAGTGGGATATCGTATCAAAGAACGACGCTATTGTATTTGTATGTAGTTTGATTGAAAAGCAACTGGCTCCAAGTTTTCGTGCAACTCATAGTACAAAAATACAAGGATACTTGGCATTCACAATCCAAGAGCTTCTTACCTACTGTGGGTTTACTCCTGATGTGTTTCAAACGATTGATTTTGGAAAACCACGAATTGGACCATCAGAGAATCCTAAAGAGATGGAGCATCGAGACTACTTGCAACAGAGATGGTCAAGATTTCCCAAATCAATCATAAATACAATTCAGCCACTTGTGGGTGCTAAATACTCTGCTGTTCCACCTTTACTTCCGCCCTGTGTATACCCAATCTTTGCCAAGTGCACTGATGTTCGTGAATGGATTGAAATGTTTTCGTTGGACACGTTTAGTAAAATGCAGCCCGACTATTTACGCATCGTGTTTCAAATGTTCAGCAATTTAATCCACGAGGGTGAAATAAATTTGGCCCAGCTACTTCTTCCTCATGCTGTGCTCAATGTCTTGTTATCCAAGCATCGACTGAATTCCAACGATATGCTATGTGAGATTCTAGCTGTGCTAAGGGACGAGTCTGTTCCTGTTCAGTCAGAAAAATATCGTTTATGTGTTCAGGTGGTATTCAAACTAATTGATCATTTAACAAAATGGATTCGATTGAAACGTATTCATTTGGCCAAGCAACGCAACTTGGTTGCGCGAAAAGCAAGATCGGCAATGAGCCTGAGCTTACTGGAAGAGTTGGAGTCGCAAATTGCTATTGTAGAGGATTGGTTGGCTCAGATCCCACAGGTTGTTACTGCTCAGGCATCGCTCGGATGTAACGCCTATGCACGTGCATTAATGCATTACGAGCAGCATGTGAGAGTGATTCGCAACTCGAGCGCGATTGTAGAAATGCAGTCGGCCTATGCCGAGCTTCAGCGTATTTACGCTCAGTTGGAAGATCCAGACAGTCTACAAGGGATTTCCACGTTGGTGTTGTCGCCTACACTTGATCAGCAGATTCTTACTCACGAAAATGTTGGAAGATGGGCCGACGCACAAACATGCTACGAATTAGCACTACAGATTGATCCAGAAAATCAGGACTATCAACTAGGCTTGCTACGGTGCTTACAGCACCTTGGCCATTATGAAACATTACTAACGCATATTAACGGTATATTGGAGCGTAACCCAAAAGATATGCATGCATTACATACTCAAGGGATTGAAGCTGCTTGGCGTTTGGGCGATTGGCCTTTATTGGAGCGATTTCTTTCCCTTCCACATAAACCTGGGTTTCAAACCTACATTGGACAGCTTCTTTTATCGATCAATTCACGTCAGGACGACACCGTAGCAGATCTGCTTTCTCAAGCTCGTGCGAGCATGACGGCATTTATTGCTGCGGCAAGTATGGAATCTTATCAACGTGGATATGATTCGGTTCTTCAGCTTTCTATGCTGAATGAGCTTGAAACTATGTATTCATTTATAAAAAATTCCAGCAATGATGCAAATACCCAAATGGTAGATATTTCAAAACTATTTCAATCCTGGGACATGCGATTGAAGATTACCTTTCCATCGTATCGTCAACGTGAGCCTATTTTGAGCCTTCGTCGGGTGCTGTTGAGGTGAGACTGTTATTTGATACGAAAACATTGATATGTAGCAAGTTTTCAGTTTAAATTGTGCATACTAATTCATATTGGGGTATAACATTCCTTGTTATATCTATAGCATAGTTGAATCCATGATGTACACATCTCAACTTGAACCACTGAGTGAGTATATATCAAAAGAAAACGGTCAGCTATGGCTCCAAACAGCCAAAGATGCACGTAAAGCAGGATACTTTCAAACCGCATACGGTGCAACCTTGCATGCAATGCATTTTAAAGTTCCCCAAGTGATTGTCGAACAAGCAAAGTTGCTATGGACGTTTGGTCAGCGTCACCAAGCAATTTGGGAGCTTGAAAGAGCAAGAGAGAAGGATCATACTGATGGAGGTAGTTTATCGAACCCCGTGAGTTTTCCTGGTGTGTCCCAGAGTCAAATGCGTACCATCAGCGCTGTAGGAATCAAAGGCACTGTTCAAGAGATTCAGCCAAACAACTATTTGCGTGCCAAGGTATATCATTATATCTGTAATCGAAATATGCTTGCGTGTCGCGATTAGTTTTATTATACTGGTCATGTTTTTAATATATGACAAAACTATGTCTAGACTGGGCTTCTGCTCAACCGATGGATTGAAGAAACAAGTGGACTTATGAGTAATGGAATAATTTGTGCTTATCAGCAAATATCAAAAGAGTTTCCTCAGTAAGCACTGATACTATATTGTTTTTATTTAAATGCTGTCAATCAAACTCACTTATCTGGTTGTTTGCCATGACTTAGATGGGAAAAGTGTGCATACTATTTAGGAAGGTTTTACAATCGATTGCGTGAAGGCGAAACTGAAAAATTTGGATTTGGATCCAAAGCAAAGCCTCCACAACTGTACGTCCAACTGTATTAATCTAGTTTTTAGATTATACCTGCAAATTAAACTGACAAGCTGCTGTTTCTAATTAATACTGACTATTCTATAACTATAGCGCACTTCAAACTCTACAAATTTCTTTGATTTGCTTCAAGCAGTATATCAAAGCCATTAGCTATGGTACCAAATACATGTATCAGACCATGCCGAGATTATTGACACTTTGGTTAGATTGTGGTAACTTGGTTTTAGAGCTTCCGCCGTAAGTATTTGCCTCTTAGAGTTTCAGTTTGTTTTGATTGTATACATATATTTAAATATTTATTGAACCCTTGCGCCAATAATATGAAATGTGTAGCGATGATGAACGAATAAAAAAATACGAAGCGCTTAACCAACACATGCGCAGATTGTGCACCACTCTTCCAACATATCAGTTTTTAACTGCCATGCCTCAGCTCGTGTCACGTATCTCACATAAGAATCAACAGGTTCAGCAAGTCATTGAGGCTATTATTGTAAATGTAATGCGAGTATTCCCTCAACAAACACTGTGGCATCTTATGGCTGTTGGAAAAAGTACAGTAAAGAGTCGTGTTCGACGAGTTACTTCAATTTTTTCAAAGCTCAAGGTATATTACAAAATTAATCTCAATAACACCATATCTTATCTTGTATATTAACCTACGTATGCATGTATCTAGAACGAGGCAAATGCTCAAAATCCAAGTGGGTGCAATATTGAGAGCTTGGTCATGGTCAGTATCACTGTTCATCATGACTTGCAATCCAAGCTTAGGCTTTATTTTCGCTAAACACCATGTTTGTAAACACATATAGGAAGCACAAAAGTTGACGGATCAACTACTGCATTTGTGCAACTTTGCCATTCCTCGTGATGTCTCGTCCATTAGCATGTCCAAAGATTTTAGAACATTACAACGCATGACTCCGCTTAGCATGATCATTCCGCTTCAATCAAGTATGAATGCTATGCTTTCTACTTCAAATCAATCAGCTGCATCGCACAATCCATTTCCAAACGACTTGCCAACCATTCAAGGATTCCATGACGAAATTGAAGTCATGTCCTCTCTCCAACGACCCAGGAAAATCACAATGAAGGGATCAGATGGCAAAGACTACATATTTTTGTGCAAGCCAGTAGATGATTTGAGAAAAGATTCGCGATTGATGGAATTTAACTCGATGATTAATCGATTGCTGAAAAAAGATCCAGATTCACGAAAACGGGGTCTTTGTAAGTTTAATTATTGGTTCAAGTATTACCTTGTACATGGCAGCTACTTATGCTATATATTTATACGTAGATATTCGAACGTATGCTGTTGTGCCGCTTAACGAAGAGTGCGGTATTATTGAATGGGTGAATAACGTGTCTGGATATAGACACATTTTGATTTCATCTTACAAAGCCAAAAACCTTTACGTTCATGTAGGTTGAATCATTTCCATCTTTTTTGTAAACGTTTTCTGATGATTTAGAACCGTTTTTAACCCATGTTGTATTGATTAAACTTTTGATTGCATATGGGGTTCAAACTCACTCATCAAACTATGGCAGCATAATGAAATTAAGCAGCTCATGGAAAGAAAGACACCGTCGCAAGAAGAAATTTTTCGAACCATAATTATTCCAAAGCATCCGCCTATTTTCCACGAATGGTTTTTGGAAACGTTTCCGGAACCCTCAAAATGGCTTGCAAGTCGACTCACTTACTCTACAACTACAGCCGTAATGTCCATGGTTGGACACATTGTTGGGTTAGTGTGATGGATGTCTTGGATAATAGTTTGCAGTGTTTTTTTGTAAACAGCTAACTTTAACTGCTGCATGGTATGTTGGAATAATAATCATATGCAAATACTTGGTTAGACTGGGAGACCGGCATGGCGAAAATATTTTGTTTGACGAGTTAACGGGTGCCTGCTTACATGTCGACCTCAACTGCCTATTTGGAAAGGGATTAGAGTTTGAAAAGCCAGAACGTGTTCCTTTTCGTCTTACTCACAACATGGTTGATGCATTTGGACTAAGTGGTACAGAAGGCAAGCAGTATTATTTACACCAAGTTCCGAATGGACAGCCATGCTGATGTTTACAATTCTAACACTTGAATATTGAAAATGTTTGGTATGGATAAACCCGAGTTTAGGTGTATTCCGTAAATCTTGTGAGCTTACTCTCAAAGTTCTTCAAGATAGCCGTGAATTTTTAACAACAATTCTCGAGACATTTCTTCACGATCCGCTTTGCGAATGGAGCAAAACACGAGGCAGGGGTGCGCTTCGGGAAGAGCCTGGTGAGCATGAGAATGAAAAGGCGAGATATATTCTTCAAGGTATTAGTCGCAAACTACGTGGACACGTAAGTAATGTGAATGCAGGGCTGTCGCTTAGTATCGAAGGGCAAGTTCATGAACTCATTTCTGAAGCTACAAGCACCAAAAATCTTAGCCAAATGTATATTGGATGGGCACCCTTTCTATAAGGTTGATTCTCAAGGCTGTTTAACGCACAGATGGCAACGTTGCAATATCAAAGTGGTTGCATGTTTTGCCACATACTATTTATATTTCAAATATAATAATAAAATGAAAAGCTATTCTGGTCAAAAACGTTACTGAAGCCGGTATGCTACAATCAAAATATAAACTCAATGCATCGGTACATGATCAAAATATATTTAAAAGTTGATAACGGATCGGATGGACAGACCAGCATGCATGGCATCAAATGCCTCGTTGATACCAGCAAGATTGAATCGGTGCGTGATATAGCTATCAATATCAAGGCTGCCATCAAGATACTTTTTGACGAGACCGGGAAGCTCAGTACGACCCTTGACACCGCCAAATGCTGATCCTTTCCATACGCGGCCAGTGACGAGCTGGAATGGACGAGTTTGAATCTCCTGGCCAGATGCAGCGACACCAATGATGGTAGATACGCCCCATCCTTTGTGGGTGCATTCAAGTGCTGCTCGCATAATATTCACATTACCAATACATTCAAACGAATAATCAACACCGCCATCAGTTAGATCAACAAGAACCTGCTGAATAGGAACATGATGGTCTTTGGGATTGACAAACTCGGTAGCACCAAACTTTTTTGCTATGTGAATATATAGAAATAAGATGAGCTTACAAATATTCTCAATTTAAGCTAGACCGATTTATATTTAAATACTTACCGAGCTCAAACTTGGAAGGATTTAGATCAACACCAATAATGCGGCTACATGTAATGTTTAATAAAATGCGCTGTGATGTTACAAATCAAAATACGCACTTATTACCTTGCACCACATGCTTTGGCACCCTGAATAACACTGAGGCCAACGCCTCCAAGGCCAAACACTGCAACCTAAGCCGATAATAATGCACCCATTACGATTTTTCAATCAGTAGTTTATGCAAATTTTGAAACCTTGAGCAAAAACTACCAACACACATAATTACTTACGGTAGATCCAGCATCAACCTTGGCAGTATTAACAGCAGCACCATAACCAGTTGTAACACCACATCCGAGAAGACATACTTTTTCAAGCGAAGCAATTGGATCTACTTTTGCTAGAGAGATCTCAAGAACAACCGAGTATTCACTGAAAGTCGAAGTGCCCATGTAGTGAAAAATCTGTTTTCCTTTGCAAGTGAAACGAGTAGTCTCGTCAGGCATTAGCCCACGTCCCTATCCACAATAAAACACAAGATAGTTAAAACTCGAGCCCTTGTATTTTCAACACCGATCGTTGTGAATGACAAAAAGTATATGCAATTACCTGAGTGTTACGAACAACCGAGCACAGGTTGGTCTTTCCAGATTTGCAAAACTTGCAGTTTCTGCATTCGGGGATATAGAGAGGAATAACATGATCGCCAACAGCGACAGAAGTCACACCCTCGCCGATCGACTCGACAATACCACCACCTTCATGGCCAAGAATAGCTGGAAAAATTCCTTCGGGGTCCGCACCAGAAAGTGTATACGCATCAGTATGGCAGACACCAGAAGATATGATTTTGATTCTGACCTCTCCTTTCTTTCAGGTGTTGCAATAGCGTCGGAAGCAAATAGCAATAAGCTTGAATAAGCAAAAATGGATGTCCTGAACAACAAGACTGGACAAGCATCATTAGAATACCTTTGGCGGCGCAACCTCGATATCTTCAATGGCTGTAGAATAGAAATGAATTGACAGTTGGATGAAACTCAATATAAAACCATATTAAACAGCAGGACAAGAGCCGCAATGAACACCAATAGCAAACTGCAACAAGCACTTACACAGGGGTAAAGCAGCAGCCCATGCAACAGCAGCTTTGCAGTGAATGATCTGACAAGAAATAGTACAGAACGTCAGTCAATATGGATGAAATAACAGTAAAGCACTGTTATAGTGCACCTTGACAGTATCATCACCTTTCCAGCAGTTTCAGTCATGCTCGATTGTTTGGGATCTGCGAGTAAAATTGCAGTGATGAGCATTCAAGTCGTTCATCACGTGTCTGATACCACTAGCAGAGCGGATGATATTCAAAGTAACAAGTCAGTCCATGTTGCTGCAGATGATGTTCAGTGCAAAAACTTGTCCTATTGAACTCGTAATTTTAAAGTGTAAATTCAATCATTTGCGTATAACAATCAAAAGTCAATATGAATTCAGAATGTCTGCGCATTGGAATTCAATTACATTCTGTTTGATATTCAAAGTAATGCATTGCTGTATGTATGTATTGGTCAAATTGTAATACAAGTAATAGCAATGCATTAGTATGCATTAATATGCCAGTCAACAGTCATATTCAAAATCAAGTCAATAATATGTAATGAATGTCAAATCACATGCAAAGTTTAATTATGGATTCAAGTCGTGAAATTTCCATTTTGATAAATTGTTTCATTTTTCCCAAATAAAATCCTAATGAACAACTCAACTCATCACATATTAAAACTACTACACTCCCATATACTCAAACGATCATTTACCACTACCACAGCTATAAACAGTCATGCAACAACATCCAAACCCCTGCATGACAAGGTTCAAGATCATATCAGCAAAAACTACTTGCTGTATGGTGCAATGTTTGGAGTAGCTACTATTCTTGGTAGTTTCCTCTGTAGTCAGATCAAAGAGACAGAAGTCAAACTCAAGTCCGATATTGGTGAAATCAAGACTATGCTGACTCCGTTCATCGTCAAAGTCAAGATGAACAAGGAGAGACTTGATGACATCAAAAAAGACTTGAACAAGAGATGACGACTGATTACTGATTGTAAATATACTAGCATTATTATAATATATTTAAAATAAAAACATGAATGTATCAATGACTGTAATCATGTCAACGAGACCAAAATCACTCATAATTGCCATGACCAGAGTGTTGGATGATCTGTGAGTATTATTAGATGATTGTGTAGTTTAACTTGTAGAGTTGATTGTCTCATTTGTCTCACAGTCATGACTCACACTCATCATGACTCAGTCGTGCGTTCCGATTGAATATTCAACATCCGATCGTGTGAATTGAATAAATTCAATCAACACATTGCATGACTTGATATCAACACTGCAATACAATGAATTATCAATACCAAATTGTGTTACAAACACTAAACATTGTTGTTTGAATGTGTTGTATTCAATCCATAACAAACTACTAATCGTGTATTTTGAACCATTCATCCATATACAATAATATGATAATGTGTTGTCAATATACAATAGTACACTATACACATGGTTGATACAATCAATTGATGTGTATGCATGCATTAAACACAAGTATGACTGATTGTGTGTACCAAACTGGTTATTGATTGTTGTGATGATATATCGAACAGTTGAATATTTATAACATTACAATGTTGTATTCACATAAAATCAAACATTTGTATGTTGCAGTGATTGTCAGTATTTTGATTTGGAATAAAAAATGATCAAATGTTGAGTTTGCTGGACATTGACTGGATTGTTTATTTGTGATATTTGGTTTGTATCAAACAAGAGTTGGGAATTGAGCAAGTGTCGACAATGTGGAATGTATTGAAACTGTAATTTCTGAATGAATGAATTTTAAAATAAACTCGGGTGTCGAACCACGATATGAACTCGTGCAAGCATATGCTGGTGGTGTTACAAGTGTATTGGTCAACTGTTGTATAACAGTCTCAGTGATGGTGTTAGAGTTGTGTTTGTTACCACTGGTACGCTACCATCAAAAACTCGATTGATCCAACAGTCAGTATTCTGTGATTGGTCCAACTCAAGTATCAGCACCACATGGCTGTCAACCCATTGTTGTCAGTTGCATCGAGTGTTTGTCCAAATAGGTCGATTCAAATAGGTTGAATATAACCGACTAATCCAGCATTCATCCATTGTCAAACAACCATAATGCACAATACCACCAAGTGTGCAATTACACCTGCACTGATCAGTCGTTGCACAGTATGCATCAGTCAATGTCAAACATATGTGTGTCTGCAACTAAATTGCAGTCCATGACACATCCACACGATCCAACATGACAAATCATGTATTGTGAGTCCAAGATTGATCAAAAACCTGATCATGGTAAACACAGCATGTTGTTGCATATCAGACTCGATATATCGAGTGACAGTTGCACACTGGCTGATGGTGCACAATGTATCAGTTACAATACATGCACGGTATTGCATTGCAGTCATTGGATGACAGTCGGTTGCAATGTGATACCGATCGACATACATCAGCATGGTGTGATGTGATCATAACCATGGTGGAATGCGTTGGAGTTGACATTGTGAGTTGACAATCGATACACCATGCACATTATTGGAACATATATATTCGAGTGTGGTTTGGTTGGTGTCAGGTTGATCATGCAATCACATCGGTGCAACGAATGAACAAACTGATGGTGATCTGAACCCATTTCAACAACAAGGAGTTGACAGTCATGGATTTACATGCATTCAATATGCGTAGCACACCGTTGTTGACTGTTGACTGTGTATGCAGATCAAGTCATCACCAACCAACAACCAGATCCAGTGCGTACATGATCATTACTAGAATGACTGCCAAGAATATTCGTGTCTGAAAGTTGATTGTGAGTTGGTGGTTTGCAAGAACCGGACACAACCAACATGCTATTGGATACAGCAACCTGATTATAGTCCAGTCACATGGTGTGATACAGTGGTTTGTGCAATACAATATCCAGATATTTGTAGTGTTGAACACGACGAATCTGTTGTTCGTGTAGCATCATATCAATTGGTAATTTGGAATCAAAGTGTTGACCAACGCTTTACAAGTATTAATGACTGAATCAAAAGGCATAATGGTTCCAAAGAGTCGCTTGCAGCATGTCAAGCAATATCATATCGACACTATACACACATGCATGTCAGCATCATCAATGTGTACAACTATGCAATATATAATCAACTGTGTTGTATTAAAAATACAAGTGTCAATGTACAATATGATATCATGTCAACCAATACTGTGAAATGATCAGACACAATGCCAAATATCAAATGGTAATTGTATTGTATTGTATTCAAACAAAAACAACATATTCGGTTGAAACCAGTCCAGATTAGCATCCAAATCAATCGGATGAATCGTCATGTTTGGGTTGACCTATTCATTACACATATCACTGTATACAACACGCAGTTATTTGTGTGTTGGATGATGTTTAAGTGGATTGGACTGTAGATGTTTCACTTGATGATGATGAACTTTCATGATGTTGTGATGAACTCTGGGTTCCACTAGTAGAAGCTTGCTCGGATTCTGACTGCTGGTTTAGTCGGAGAGTGAGAGATTCGTATATGCTTTCAAGAAAACTGGGATTGAATTTCAGAAATTCAACACAAGAATAAAACGATGCTAGATCCATACCATATCCAAACAGGCGCCTTGCGATGTTTTCTCTGATTGAATACAATGACAATCTAAACACAAAGAAATCATGTTCGAGTTTCTCTCGCTTTTCTTCAAGCTCCTCGAGTTTTTCTCTCGCTTCTTTAAGCTCGAGTCTAGAATTTTGAAGCTTTTTTTGATATGTTGGATCATTCTTGTTTTTCAAAAGTTTATGTAGTAACCTGAAATGTTTGTTATTCAGTCATGTTACCAATATTTTTTGATCAAGCTCTTTAGATTTGGCCAAGACACACACTTTCCTCATCTCTTGACGTTTTCGATCCGTTTCTAGATGTCCTTCGATCAACCTCGCATCAACCTCTGAAAGTCGACTAATATCAACTAAACGTGTAGCTTATTGATAAGAAATTGTCCGATATCCAGGTACAATACCTACGAATGCACTGGGATTGGCTGGAGTAGCTGTAGTAACCGAGCAAGCAAGCAGGATTGATGCCAATACTGTGACTGCGAGTTTCATTGTATTGGTTGTCAGAATATTAGGAGCTTCGTGATTTGTATAAATGTAGTAAAGTATAAAGTAGATAGAGTATAATCTGTAACTGTTAATAATTATCAGAAGAAAACAAATCAAAAGTGTAATGGAAGTTGCACTTTAATCCAAGATCAGCAGATTTGGTCTTTTCAAGTATAGTAAAAAGGTGTAATAAAGTAATTAGAAAGTTGAAATAGTTTGACGAGTTGTTTATTGATAAGATTAAGCATATTAGCTTTATAGTAATTGTTTGTTTGTCTTGTGATACGAACAAGTAACACATTTGATAATGAGAGGTTGTAAACGAAAAGTAGTTGAGCCAATAGGATTGATTCCTGTAATTAGTCAATTTAATAATGATACCATTTACCCGTTACTTGGAACTCGAATCTCCAGAAATGAGGATAATGGAGTTTGGAGCATATGGATTGGTGGTGGTGAAGGGTTTAATTTAGAGATTCAAAGTGTGCGCTATTAGAATTAGCTTTGTCACAGATTACCACTTAGGAGTATCCGTCTGGATATTCCAGCACACGACTCGATACGTGATGTTCAAATGTCTAATATTCAGACTGTGCTGATTGCAATTGTGGTTGTAATTGTGGTTGTGTGTAAATATCAATCCAATACTCGATTCAATACTTGATTCAACTTGAGCATGTCCAGTTTTGTAGTAATCCATTTGATCACATTGACAGAATCAAGCAATGATCTGATTCAACAACACCGAATCATGCATCCATATCACCTGTATCAATCAATTGTACACAATCAGTCAATATAATCAACAGTCACTGTCATGATTGACATGATTGATTCAATTCATTCGATCCATTTAATTGCATAGATCTGACTGGCATTGCAACTTGTTGTTGTAAAATCACAACCTCACAATCCATCACCATACGCCTGCTCATATATGTCTTCGTTGTATGCTGCTGTGATTCGAGTTCGGTCACTTGTCAATTCATCTCGATAGTGTTTGGCTTCAGCTGGTGATTGAACACCTTGAATATACTGCGTGGCATCATTCCACAGTTCAGGCGGTATGGGTGTCTTGTCAAGACTCGAGTTGTACCATTGTGGTTGTTGTGGAGCCACATGCGCAGTTGAAACAATCCGACAGGCTGGATTCACTACAAAAAATGTCAGAATCTTGCAGTGTCCTGGTTGAGTTGGATCTGCAAGTTCAAATGATTGTTCTTTGTGTTGGTATCGATTGGGATAAACTACACATCGACCATTTGGTAATTCAAGCGATCCTATATACTGACTATGCGGTGATTCTTGATCAATGCCATACACATCTTTCCAATACATATCAGATGCTCCTTGATAATCAAAACAATCAACAGCCACGCGGAAATCGAGTTTGGGTGTGGTGATATTTTCCACGTCGTAGTAATACAGTCCAGTTGCAACAATCGATTCGTTAATTGGACCTTCAATGTGCCAGTTTCCCTCGTCGTATTTAGGTTTGGATGGTGTCAGTTGAATGTTGGTGAGTTTGACAATGACTTGTAGATTACGACCACGCAGTGATACTGGCTTTGCTGATTCATATTTGGATTCAAAATGTTCCGGAAGTGTTGGTACATACACGGGACGAATGACTCGAGTGTCTGATTCCATATCATCATGATCTGACTGACTTGGTGGTTCATATCCATTTATGCCATTACGAAGATCAATATACTTGAACATTGGATCCATCGTTTTGATCAGACTTTCAAACATTGGGACAAAACATTTGAATATTTTGGCAATGCATTTGTACATGTCTCGATGCCATATCGGATTCAGATTGTTGATGTATGAGTTGATGGTCACACTGCCATCCTGTTCGACACAGAATTCACTCGGAAGCCATTGGAACTTGTGTGATATAAACTTGGAATCGCCGTCAATGATGGGCACACTTGAAACAAGTCGAGTCGATAACAATATATCGCATGGTACCATTGTGGTGTATTTGAGTCGTATACTCAGTGGTGCAATCATCGTTTGTCCATATATAACACTGTACATTGATGCATCAATCAGATTGTGCACCATTTGACCAGTGTTGTGATTTGATCCATGTTCAATATCCGATACATTTGTCATCAATCGCGTGTATACATTGTCAGGTATGCCATTGTCCAGTATATACGTCAGTTCAACAGGTCCTGGTACAATTGTGCCCAATCCATCACTGCCATTACAAACAAGCTGTTTGACAAAAACACCGAGTTGTTCCAATGCAAGATTAAATGTTGATGGTGATATATTCCGATCGAGTGAGTCAGCCCTCCATTGCTC